AGACATTTTAGGTGGTCTGAGAGTGGATTTTAGATACTGCATTAAGTATATTTAATAGACGCAGTGATGAATTGAACATGTGGTAAGAGATTAGACTTCAGTTCCCTTGGTGCTGGAGGAAGCTCACTTCTGGCACCATGGCCGACACCCTCCACCACCCTGCAGTCCTCCCCCAGCTCGTCTCACAGGCCACAGGACCGGAGCTGGTGGACCTCAGGATCCAGCTAGAATGCAGGGTTTTTGCTGTATTCACTTATTACGGTTCTTGCACTTACTTACACCCACTATTCTGGTCTCCCACTCACTGCCATGATATGGAGTTTTCCTTCCCATTTAAATTTACTTTGGGGAAAAAGTGAGTTAAAGAGGCCATTCAGTAAATGCAAACACAGCTGGCACTGGGTGTGGCAAAGCCGTGAAGGACATGACCTGTGGCCTGGGAAATAGGACATAAGTGCTTTTAAATGGTAGGTCTTTGACTCTCAGGGGTGTTGAAGCCAGTTCACTTAAAAATAAAAAAAAAAAAGAGGCGGCACAGAACAGAATGTCTGGGCTCACTGTGTGGACACAAGGTGTGTGTCACTGTGCAACTGAGTAGTCCTGTTATGCACGCATGTGTTTGTGTATAGGGCCCCACAGCGGCACATACTTTTACTGCGGGTTGTGATTTAAAAGGGGACCCACACTGGCCGCCAGCAGACCCTCTGGGTCTCGGGCAGGACAGTGCAAACTGCTAGGCACTCCCATCTCCCCCCCACCCCCAGTGCTGCACGGTCTCTGAGTAGATGGCAGCTAGGTGGCCTGGGGGCTGGACAAGGGGAGGCTGCAGAGCTTCAGAGCCCTGCTGCGCCTCTGACCAGCCAGACCAGCAGGAAGGCTGATCACTGAGGCAGATGTCCTGGTGTTCACTGGGGTTCAGGACCCCACGAAAGGGGGCAGCCGGTGCCCTAGTCATGTGCAAGTGTCATCACTGCCCCAGGGCTGCAGTCTGTTACCCATGTACCAGTTCATGGGGAGGGAGGAGCCTTGGGGACACACACATTAGCCTACATACACACATGAACACATTAGACCACATGCACACATACCCTGGGGACAGCCTAGGGTTAGCCCCCCATGTGCATGCATGCACGCGCACAGACACGTCGCAACTCCAGAGCCTCGTTGGTTAACACATAGGGTTGCTGGAGTGGCCAGTGTGGGGGGCAGAGGGGAAAGGGGTTGGGGTGTCCCAGAAGGGGGCTCCTGCTAGACCAAGTCTGAATGGAGGCCGTTGCTGGTGGAGGCCTTGTGTAGGCAAAATGCCCAGTGGGTGTGTCATCTGCCCATTTTGGGTGGGTTCCAGCCTTGCCCTGGGCCTGCCCAGCAATGCCGATTAGGGGTGGCCTCTTTGGCAGGCCCCTCACATGCCTGGCCATGATGATTTTGGGAGACGAAAGTGCCCACCCACATTCCAGAAGCTGCTTCTGGTCTCCTGAGCACCCGGACGCATCCCCCCATCATGGGCGGGCTGGCTTCAGGGCCTCGGTGGCTGCTGGGCCCTCACACTTATGGTTTCTCTCTACCAAGACATTCCAGGTGGTGCCACACAAGGGATAACAGAGATCAAGGGTCTTGGGGCTGGGCACTGCGGGCTGGAATCCCTGGGGTCAGGGTCCGAGGTCTGGTGTGTGGCGCAAGGAAATCAACTGTTCAGACTTTGGAAAACAAACAGCAGTGGGGCTGGAGTCAGGGTGGGGCTCAGAACCCCGCCTGTTTTTGCCGCCTGGATGCTAGCTGCTTTGTCTCAGTAGCCACGTCACTGGTAAACGTAAGGGGTTTGGGGGATGGTGGAGGCAGGCGCTGGGCCGCTGGCTTTGCTACGTGGCCACAGCCCCTGAAGCCTGGAGCTCAGCCTCTCACCACCTGCACACGGAGAGGTTTGGGGGGTGCAGGCAGGGCCTGGAGGTCCGCTGGCTGCCCAGCCTGAGCCTTGGGGAACAAAGGACACTGGCCCTAAGTGCAGCAGCCCATAACAGGGGCCAGTCCCGTGTTCCTCTAAATAGAGGACTTTCTGTTCAAATTAACGAAAAAGGTGCAGATGCGATATGTGCGGGGTTCTGGTCAGATGGGATGGGCAAAACCAGAATCGACCCCAAAAGGCTGGAGACACTTTCCTCTGAAGTTTTGCACGGGGCTGTGGGAAGGTTCTACTCGCTGGGAGGCTGGGAGGGGTGAGGGTGCAGGTGTGGGGAATGAGGCGGGAGATGGTCACTCTCAGGGGCCGGGGACCAAGAGGGCGCAGGAGGGGCTGTGGGCAGCCAGGGGGACTCAGGAGAGTGGCAGGGATGCAGGGTTTGGGTGACGCAGTAAGGCCACTTGCTAGCCTGGGTGCCTGCACAAGACTAAATATTTAAATGACAGGCTGAGAGGGGGCGTGGCCCTTATGAACGGGGCTAAGGACCCTTGGTGAGGCCCACTGGGGGCTCCCTGTCCAGGTACCAGCTCCCTGCCTGGTGAGACAGACCCCCAGTGGTCACACAGCACGGCTCTGCAAGAATTTTCACCCTGCAGGAGAAAGGGTGCACGACACACCTGCCCCGGCTCAACAACCCCTCCTCTGCAGGGCTGGGGAGCACCCTGGTTTTCATAAAGGTCTCAGCCCCCAGAGCACCCGTGTGGGCTCTGGAGAGGCCCTGATGGAGGCCCCCGGGGATCCTGAGACAGGGAGCGTCAGGGTGGGGCCCAGAAGGAACGGGGATCACGGCAGGAAGCCGTGTGCAGGAGGCAGATGGGCAGGCAGCCCCCTGAGCACGGTGCACAGGGGACGTGGGGAACCTGGCGAAGGCGCGGTGCAGATGGCAGAGCACCTGTCCGAGGGCACAGGTCACATGAGGGTGGTCACAGCAGTGGCAAAGGGCAGACCCGGTGCAGGAAGAAGTGAGCCGGGCCGGCGGGGGCTGTGCAGTGTGTGAGCCACGCTAGGACCTGGAGGTGCTGAGCCACCCTGGGGCCTGGGGGCAGACGTGGGGGAACCCCATGCTGGCAGTGATCACATCCCTCAAATGGGAGGGGGCAGCTCTGGGCTCTGGAGGGAGCCGGGGCCCTGGGGTCCTCCAGGGCCTCTCCTAGACTCAGTGAGTAGCCCGTCAGGAGTGAGGTCAGCCCAGGGCACGTGGTCAGGCTTCCACGGGAGCCCAGTGGAGGCGGTCCGCAAAAAGGCAGAGACTGTGCAGAGGCCCGAGGCACATGCCTAATGGGAGTGGGAGCCCCTGCCCTGTGCGGTGTGCGACCACGGCAGGTGCCAACGGGCGAGTCACTGCTGCCGGGCCCTTGTGGGAGGCCCCAGCCCTGGCGCAGGCCTGGCTCCGTCACCACGGCCAGCGTCCTTGGGCCACCCATGAGTCCTTAGTTTCCCTGTCATGGGAGAATCTGCGTGGTGGTTACCAGTGGGGGCGACTTTGCCTCCCAGGGCATATTTGGTGACGTCTAGATGTGACAGGCACTCACCCCGACCTGAGTGCAGAGGGTGCAAGCTGAAGAGCCCGCCTGACCGGCTGTGGTGATGCAGGTGCGGGCGCCCGGCTGGGCACGCTCTGCAAACTGTAAGGTGCACTTATGGGTAAAACCATTTATTTGATTCCAAGATGCCATCATCTGTGAAATGCACTCCAATTTGGGTGACTAATTGTCAAGAAAAAAGGAAACCCAATCGTATGAAGTGAACACACTGACTTAAAGACACATCCCGACATCAGAAATATTAAAGCGTAAAGTGCACATTGGAATCAAGGGACCTGGGCCCTGCTCCCAGCACAGCCCCGCGCTCGGGACTGCAGGCCCCCCGCCTCCTCGGGACCACCACCCAAACTCTGGAGCTTCTTTGGCAGACAACAGAGGACACCGCTGACCCACCCTGGGTGTCTAGGGGTCTTGTGGACAGACAGACAGACAGACAGGCCTCCTGCTCCAGCCAGATGGGGCTCTACAATTTAAAAAATGACAGGGACAAAGTGACACACTTACTTTTTCAGAGCTTCTCTCAGATTCTTAAATCTGCCCTCTGATGACACAAGCTTTTGGAGCTTATCAATCAAAGCTTTTGTCTAGAAGGAATCAGAAGCGATCAGAATCCCCGGGCATCAAGGCCCGAGGCCCCAGCGCAGCCCCGCGCGCCTCCCCGCCGCTGTGCGCCACCCTGTGACCGGGCAGGGCAGACGCGGGACTTCCTGGGCCCGGGGCCCTCGCCCCTGAGCTAAGGGTCAGGCGGGGGTCTCGCTTCCTGCGCTGCGCCCACACAGAGACGTAGGGGTGGGGCGTGAGGGCCCTGAGCCCCGTCTCAGGCCCTAGAAACACCGCGGGATCCGGTGGCTCGGGGCTTGGTGGCTTCCAGCAGCCCGTACCCTGAGCAGGGCTGGGCCTCTGTGGGTGTCCTGGTCTGAGCTGTACCCAAAGGCTGGGCCCAGCTCCCCACAGCTTCCCTTTCACACGCCAGGAACACTACCCACATCTCAGCACCAAGAAGAAGGCGAATGAACTGCCCATCGAGCAGCGAGCCCCACGCCGAGGGTCCCGCCCCCAGGCCCCACCCACACGGGAGGGGGCGGCTGCGGAGGCTGGAGTCTGTCTCCGGGGACCAGGTGGTGTGACGGTGCCCTGGGTGGAGTCTGGCCCTGGGCCCCTTTCCCTGTGTGGCCTGGGGAGCCCGTCACCCCCTCGTCCATGGTCCTCATTCACACCTCGTTCTAGTTCTGGTCCTCAGATTTGGCATGAGACAGAAACAGCACTGGAGGCCAGTGGCCAGCAGGTGACCAGCGGGACACTGGCCACTGGGTCCCGCGCACCCCTGATCTACGGGCCAGGCTTCTGTCTGAGCGACCTGCCCACAGAAATGACGCTCCGAGTCTTCCGGTGGAGGAGAGCTGCGAGCTCTTCAAGGGAAAGCCTGGGAGGCTCTGTTGGTCTCGCCTGTGACCAGCCCTGCTCAGAGCAAAATGCCTTGTGGGTCTGGTGAGAGAGACACACGCCCGGGGGGGCAAGGCTAGGAGCGGAGGCTCCGTCCTGCGCACTCTTCCCAGACCTGCGTCCCTGCTGTCCTTCCTTCCCACCCCCTGCAGAGAAACGATCCGATGTGGCCCGAGGCCAGCTGAGGGCCGAGTGCACAGAGGCCCACCACCTACGGCCTTGGGCAAGTCACCGGCCTCCCACCCAGCTGGGTCTCTGCCTTTGCACGTGGAGGATGGGAGGTGCGCCCAGGTCCCTGACGGTGACACTGGTCAGACTGATTCCTTCCACATCTGCGCCCCTCTTCAGGCCCTGACTGTCCAGGAAGGAGCCCAGCAACCTGGGAGGCCACCGGGCTTTCTCATCTGCTGCTTCAGAAGTGTGTTCTGCCCCAAAGCAGCTCAAGCATCTTCTGGTGGGGCCAGGAGTGCCTGCCTTTGATGCCCACGGGAGCTTGGGCTCTGTGGAGTGTGGATACCAGTGGGCAGGAATAAGGGGGCCTTGGAATCGATCATTGAAGCCAGAGACCAAGCGAGGAGCCTGCTTTGGGAAGAAGATGGTTGTGGGGCCTCCAGACAGAGGGCTTCTGGGTGGCCAAGGGCGCTCCCTCCCAGAGGCCCGGGAGTACGGTCAGCTGCAGAGAGGGTTGGCTGCAGTGAACCGCCCTGCAGAGAGGGGACACAGGCCGCCTGCCACCCCCGTCAGCCCGTGGAGGGGCGCCGTCAGACCCTTTCTGGAGGGACAGCTTTTATTCTCAAAGAGGTTGGGAGAGGAGTGAAAGAAGAAAGGGGGACTGGAGGCCGCATGTCCCGGACTAAACCGGCTGCCTGGCTCTTGCCAAGGGCTGGTCGTAAGGTCTTCTGTTCTGGGCCAGCACATTCAAGGGGATGATGAACTGGAGCTGCTGAGGCTACATTTAAAGGTCCTCTGAGAAATGTGGCCATTTTGGTGGGTCACAAGTGTCCACCTGCAGAGAGATAGCAAACTGTCCCTGCCGGGGCGGAGCAGGCTGTGCCGAGGCCCCGGGAGGCTCTGGGAGCCGGGTGCTGTGCTGACGGGCAGGGAGAAGCCGCAGGGCGCAGTCTGCCACAGAGGGTGCAGGCTGGAGTGCTGCCACAGGCAGCGTTGATTTCTGGACCGAGCTGGCTGACCCCAGTGACATCCTGGAATGCAGGCCAGGTCCCAGGCCTTGACCTCTAACTGCCCCTGCTTTGCACTTGCCTCTGAGATGGTGGTCAGTGGTGGTTCCTGCCCAGCCTCACAAGGGCTGGAGAACAAAGCCGACAACTCAGAGTCCCCGGTGTGGTGGGCAGGCGAGCCTTGTCTGAGGGCCTTTGGAAACGACATCGTTCCAGTGGCAGGTGAACAAATACTCTTACTGGAATGGGCCCCTCGGGCTCTGCCACAGCCCTACCGGAAGCTCGACAGGCCACACAAGCCCAGGGGGAGTCAGATTCTGCAGCAGCCTTGCTCGGCCTGACGTCAGTTGATGACACCGTGTGTCGCATGTGGCCAGGTGTGCCCGAGGCCTGCGCTCCCACGCCTTCAGCCTGCTCTCTCCAGGATCCCGCTGATAGGACTGACATCTTCCACGGTCCTTGTCCTAAGCCTGGCACCTCTGTATGCTAAGCAGCAGGAGGCCCAGCCTGGCTGGGATGTGCCCTGCATTCCTGCTGTGGTCTGGAGCCAGAGTGGCTGGTGGCCATGGAGGGCGGTGGAGAAGCCCCAGGGCTGTCCTGATTTGGGCTGCTTGTCTAAGTAGGAGGATTTATGGATCTTGTGCTTGCTTGGGGGGCCAATGGCACGAAGAGGGTGGTGAACGGAAGGTAATAAAGGGAACAATGAGGGGGACACGGCACACAAATCCAGAGTGGCTCAGGTGAGACAGGCCCCAGCGAGGCCCTGGATCCCCACAGCCCACCCAGCCGTGGGACCACACACACTACTGCCAAGTCATTGGTGCCTCTGGGGGCTTACGCACCTTTGGTGCTGCCTGCCTAGCCTCTTGCCCACACAGGCTGGGGCTGGGGCGTCCAAGTCACCAAGAGAGTGATCCCGTGTTCTCTGCATTTTCAGGAGAGCTGCCCCTCATGACCTCACTGCAGGGGACTTTATTCCCGAGGAAGAATCCACCCTACGGTTTTTTAGAATCATGTTTGGATGAATAATGATCAAACCCGCATTTAAGAACACCACTAACCAATGGTAACAGGGACCAGCTCACTCTCTGGTGGCCAGAATGGTTGGTGAAATTTGAATCCTTGGATAGGACTTGAAGGATCACCTGACCAGCAGCTCAGCAACCCTGCAGATCTGGACTGGGGTCTCCACGAAGCCAACAGCCTTTCATCCCAACTCGAGAAGGGTGCTGGAACCAACAGTCACTTACACTTCCCACTTGGGGTGTTAGTTATTGGAGTGGGAATAAAGTCACACTGGTGCCAGTGCCACATTTGTGGGCCTGATACTCGGTCCCATGTGATATAGGAGAAGAGGTTCTCTGTTTCACCTGGGAGTGTTGGCCCTCACCCTGCCCTTTGCCCATCTAAGGATACCAACTAGCCAGCCTTCCAGTCTCCCTGCCCAGCACCAGCCCAGCCCCACGCAGGCAATGGTGCCAGCTTCCCATCTGCACCTGCTTAGAGACTTTGAGCCACGTCTTTTTCAGCCGAAAGATCGCACTCCGGTTCATGGACGAGGTGATCTCCAGCACAGCGTTGTAGTTGTGTAAGCAGCGGCATATGTCAGCCACAGCCACCCACTTCTCGATGGCGCTCACTCTTGCATTGATATCTTCATTGCGGATGATTTCTGAAGCAATCAAGTTACTGATCTTTAAGACCATGCAATAAGACAAGAAAAAAGGAAGATGAGTAAATATTGTAAAGATGATAAGTTACCATTACTTGCGGATTGTATACTGCCTGAAAAGCCCAAAAGAATATACAGGAGAAGTACTAGAACAGCTAACAGCTCATCAGGGTGGTTAATTAGAGATTCAATATCCAAAAATGAAAAGTGCTCCTATATATCAGCAATAACTAGAGAATACAATGAAAAATATATTATATTCAAAATACCAGTGGGAATCTGTAATTTACGTAGGAACTTGAATTAATGAGTATGACAGAGGATGCTACATGCCATGCAAAAAGAAGTTACCAAAGACTAGAAAAGGCCTAAATATGAAGAAGATGAAACTCCCAAACAGGAATATAAATATGTCATTTTTCAAAACTAATATGAGTTTTGTGAAATCTAATAAAACATGCAATGGGAGCTTTCTTGAGAACTTGACAAAGTCATTTGTAAGTTCATCTGGAAGGAAGGAGATGAAAAAGAGTCAAGTTCTGAGGAACTCTCCTGCCATGCATCTGGGGTGTGGACAGGCCACACACTCTGTGGCACCCAGTCTCACATAAAGTAGAAAAAAACCGGGGGCCCAAATATCAGGGTCCTAGAGCTGCAAGGAGCTAGGGAAGCAGGAAGTACTAGGGTTCCCTCTACACTTCTTTGCAGTTTCCTGTGAATCTATAATTATATAAAAATAGAAAGTAAAAAAAAAAAAAAAGACTTTGTTATAAAAAAATTAAGGTGATAAACAGACATTTAGAGATGAAAGAAAATGTAGGGCTTTACCACCAAGAAATCTCAAAAATAATTTCTAAAGGTTGGGCTTCAAAAGGATGGATTATAAAACTACTTAAGATGGAAAACTTCTGATAAGAATCAGCAAGGAGTGAGAACACAAAATAGTACATATATTATAGCTTGATTAAATGGAAGTAGTGATTTTTTTCCATAAGGGAAACACTGAACTCAAAACAGTTTTATATGTCATAGTATTTTTTTTTTAACATAATAGTTCAGTTAAATCTTCCAGGAAAGAGAGAAAAAACGTCTGCCAATTTCTTCTGTGAGGTCGGTGTGATCTTGATGCCAAAACCAGATGCAGACAATACAAGACAGGAAAACCGCACACCCATCTGTTTGATGCACCACAGTCATTTTAGGCTTGTCCCAGAATGCAAGGATGGTTGAATACTGGAGAAAAACCTGTCACTGTCATTCACCACATCGACAGATTAAAGGAGAAAACCCGTATGACCACCTCGTTAGATGCAGGGAAATTCAATGTTCACTTCTGGTAAAAACCTTAGCAAACAAGGAACAGAAAATAATTTCTTTGACTTGATAAAGAGACAAACAATATCCTAATGGGGAAATGTTAAAAGCCTTTTCTTTAAAACCAAGGAACAGAGTCACTACTGCCATTTCCATTTGACACCATGTGGGGGGCCGGCCAGGAGGCACTGGGCACGCAGCACAGGCACCTGGCCTGGGCGGCACCTCGAATTGTGTGCCCGGGCACTGCCTTCCCCACCCAGCCCCAGGCCTGACACTGGAGAGCCAGGGCAATGCCACTCAAGAAGGTGACGAGTGAATAGAGGATGAGAAACGCCCAAACAAACTTGCCCGGGAGAGAAGACGGTTCCCATACGCACATGCTCTGCCTGTGGGAGAAAGGTGGGACTTGAACAGAAATGCCGAATGCCCAGTGGAGGTGAGGGCAGCCCTCTGTGGGTGGACTGCAGGACCCGGGCAGGCGCTCCTGCTGTGTATCATTGGGGATGAAATGTAACCTCCTAGTGTCTCCGTCTCTCCCTCCATAAGTGGGAGTAGCAGATAATGGAGAGGATGTGCAGGAACCCGTGGCACAGGCCTGGCACCCAGTGACCACTCCACAAATGCTTGTTTCACATTCCCGCTTCTGGCCGGCTTGGGCCCAGGCATGGTGGGACAGGGAGGGAGAGGGGCCGCTTCCTGAGCCTGGAGCCACGGGACTTCTGCGTTAGGAGGAGGGGGGCCTTGCCCACCTCCATCACCTGCTTTCCCCTCAAGACCTGTGGCCCGCCAAGTCCTCCCTGCCTCCTCCAGGCCGCCGAGGACCCTGCCACTTGTGGGCTGTGCTTGCTGGGGGCTGTCCTTGCAGTGGTTGACATGATGTGGCCTCGATCAGGTGCTCAGGACAAGTGGAACCACGTGCCCCACGTCCAGCCACCCAGGGCCTTTGTGCTGATGACAAAGCGCAGGAATGAAGAAGCCCTCAGGGCTTTCCCGGGGGTGGGAGCTGTCTGTGGCTGGGTGCAGCCTGGGCAAACGTGTTCGGGGGGAGCCAAGGGGCCCTTATCCCTCCAGGCTGGGGCCGTGCAGGAGAAGGAGGGCACGGGCTGCTCGACCGGCCAGGACAGCCTTGTCTCTTGATACCTGACGTGCTGATGGGCCCCCATGAGGCCGGGGTGAGCTTCACCTGGGACAGTTGTGCGTAAGGTTCACAGGCCTGTAGAGACCCAGGCCTCATTCCGGCCAGAAGAAGTGCCTGCCCCCCAGCAAGAAAAAGCCCGGTGGAGGTGCCCCGGCCCCCCCCACTCACGTCATTGAAGTGCCTGGTGGTTTTCATGATGTAAGGGGTCCGCTCGTTCTTGTCCACCTTCATCCAGCCTTGCCCGAAGAACTCCCTGGGGGAATAAGGGGATGCCAGGGCACATGGGGCTGGGCTCTGGGGCTGTGCCTTCTGGGGGGGTAACTGTGCACAGAGTAGCTGGGGTGCGGGGTCCTCGGCTCAGATCCAGCTCTGCCCCCAGCCAGCCATTTGGCCTCAGGAAGCCCCTCTTATCGCAGGGCCTCAGTTTCCTCATCTGAGAAGTGGGAACAGTGGTGTCCAGTCCTCAGACTTATGGGGGGGCGGGCACGCAATGAGGCATGGGGGCACATCACATGCTGTGAACTGCAGCGGGCACACCAGCTCTTGTTTGGAGAACTCACGGTTTAGAGCCACTGTGCGTGAGCTGTTCTGTAGCGCGGGGAGAGCAGGAGGCCACAGAAACGGCCAGACGTGAGAATAAAGGGGCCTGCAGGCCACGCCAGCAGCGTGTTCCCCGGCTCCAGAGGCTCCGCACGTGGCACCGAGCAGGGCTGGCCAGGAGCCCCGGGGGCAGGAGGGCGGGTCTCACAGCTCCTCAGAGGGAGCCGATCCGATCTGGGCTTCCAGAGCACCGTCGCCCGTCCAGGGGGAGGTGGGACACTCGGAAATACCAGGCAGGGCTGCCTTTCTGGAAGGCAGAGCTCAAAACCCTGCAGTGAGTCATGGCCTCAGATCCCCCGATTCCAATTCTGGGAAGCTATTTTAGGACAATTGTCAGAAATTCAGAGAAATACATAGTTACAAGGAAGTTTACTCAGCTTTAAATAAAACAGTGAAACTAAAATGACCCTGGGGCTCGATGCACTGTCGGGAAACACTGCTCTTAGGAGAGAGGGTGCTTACAAATGCCACTTCAGTCCGTTGACTGGGACAGAACTGTTTACATAGCGAAATTACAGGGAACACGGGGCTGACTACAGGCCAGGCAGGTGACACCAGGCCTCGGGTCAAAGTCCACAGCTGACCCAAGTCTGCCCCTGGGTGTATGTGTGCACACACATGTATTGCACACATCTGTCACATGTTCATATGCACACACACACATATGCACACTCCTTTTCCTGACCTTCAGAATAGAGGTGCAGAGTCAGAGGAGCTTCTGGGAAAGTGTGTGTGCACACAGCTGACAGGTAGGGAGAGAACTTGGCAGGGGGTGGGGGGTCTCAGTATCTGTCTCAAGAAGCTTTTCAAGTCTGCTGTTAACAGCTTTTCTCTCACAAAACTGCTGNGGGGAAACTTGCGTTTTGTTTCACGGTCCTGCTTCGGGGATGCCCCAAAGGCAGCGCCCGAAGTGGGGGGGAAGGAGGCCATGCAGCACCCGCTCACTCGTAGGGGATCTTCTTGAAGACGAGGTGGTCCAGCAGAGTCAGCTGCTCCGCGATTTCCAGGGCAGAGTGGTTCTCAAAGGGCTCTGCCTTCACACCTTCAGCCTGAGGGGGGCAGGGTCCGGGTGAGGCCCTCGAGGGGCACCTGCTGGCCTTTGGCTCCTCTGGTGTGACCTCTGCCTGGATTCTGGCGGGTGGGTGGGGGGTGCGGTAGGGAGGGGGTGCGGAGGGACCGGGAGCCGCCGGGGGCTGTCTGCCGTGCCTCGTAAGGCTCCTTTGCCTGTTTAATTGCTGCCAACCCTCCGAGCGGCCTCCACGTCTCCAGCACGGGTGAGACAAACCGGCACCTGGAGGCTGACCAGCCGCCGAGTCACTGGGCCGGAAAGGGCCGGCGACTCCAGGCTGTGACCTGTCCCTCAGGTTCTGCCTGGTCCACTACCAGCTGCATGAAGTTTCCTTCTGGATTTGTGCAGATGTGGGCTGCCAGGCGTGGCTGCCCCGGGACAGTGTCCTGTCCTATGCTCAGAGCAGCTGTCTGGCCCTCGCCCCAGGTTATGGTGTCCCTGGATCCGTGGACGTCCCCTCAAAGGCATCTACCACCTGGGCCATATGACCAGGGGAACCTCCAGGGAACACTCAGCAGTGGACTGTGGTCTCTGTGCGAGGACTAAAGATGCAGACACGGGGAGGCCAGGGTTCTTAGGCAGAGGTCCCACAGAAGGACTGTGGGCAGGGAGGGGCTGGGGGAGAGGCTGGAGCAACGAGGAGGAAGGGGGGGCCGCTGTGCTGGGCCTGGGAGGAGCCTTGTCCACCAAGGGGACAGTGAGGAGTAAGGCCCTGCCCCCCCTCAGGCCGACTGGGACCCATGGCAGGGGGGCCTGGCTACACTGGCCAGAGTCCTGGTGGATGCGGCTGAGCTCCCGCAAGTAGTAACCCCTAGGGAAGTGGGGTCCACTTCACATCAAGGGCACAAGCCATCCGCCCTGGACCAAGTGCCCGCCTTCCTGCCTGCCCTTCTCGGCCAACAGGTCGTCAGGGGCCGGAAGCTGGACACATGCCCGGAGACCAAGCAGGGGCAGCACGTGCAAAAGAGGAGCAGACGCCCCACTGTGGCCTGAGTGTGCGTGTGTGTGTCTGCACACGTCTGCTCGAGTGTGCGCGTGTCCGCACGTGTCTGCCTGAGTGTGCATGTGTGTCTCTGTACGTGTGTCTGAGTGTGCACACGGCTGCATGTGTCTGCTCGAGTGTGCATGCATGTCTCTGTACGTGTGTCTTCTGAGTGTGCACATGTGTCTGCTCGAGTGTGCATGCATGTCTCTGTACGTGTGTCTGAGTGTGCACATGTGTCTGCCTGAGTGTGCATGCGTGTCTCTGTACGTGTGTCTGAGTGTGCACACGCCTGCATGTGTCTGCCTGAGTGTGCATGTGTGTCCGTGTATTCCATGAGCCGCCCCAGGCTGGGAGTGACCTGTCAGCTCACATGCAGGACTCCAGGGACAGGGCAGCAGGTCTGTCCACAGCGAGGACCTGGCAGCAGGAGGCTGCAGCTCCCGAAGCGGGTGCAGGCAGGTGGCTGCGACACCCACTCCTGAGGGCCTAGGCAGCTGAACTCCTAGCGCCCAAGGGCCAGTTTCTGTCCCGGCCTGGGTGGGGCTGGGTGGGGCTGGGTGGGGCGAGCTGGGCGATGGCCCGGTAGCCCACTGAGAGGCTGAGAGGCCTGGCCTGGGGAGGTGTGCCGGGCATAGGGGAGCAGGCAGCCCTCTGCGCCCTCCTGGTGTGGCCCTGGAAGCAGAGGCCAGCAGACAACTTCCCTAGCTTTCCACAGGGCTTGGGAAAGACCGTCTGCTCCCTTGCGAGGCTGCTGGGGGCTCCCCAGACCGGATGTCCCCACAGGCTCTTGGCTCTGGGCACGAGCCCTGAGGCCGGGGGTGGCTTGGGGAACTTGGTTCTGGGAGGCCTCAGGCTGTTCAGGAAGGAACAAGGGCCCTCGTGCTCTGGAGGGCTACACACTCCTGCTGGCCCTCCCAGGAAGGGGGCAGAGAGCTGTCTGACCCCTGCAGGGAGGCACCGGAAGGAGCCGCTCTCTCAGGGCTGCCCATGTCCCAGCCCCCAGGTGCCCTGCCCGGGTTTTCCCACCCTGGGCACATGGAGATCCTGGTGGTGGCAGGGCGATAGTTGCTCCCTGGGACCTAGCCCAACCCCAGGGCCGGAGGAGCCAGCTCCAGGAGTCAGGGGGGAGATGGGGGGCAGCGGTTCCTGAACCCGGGTGTTAAGTCCTCACACTGGCTACTCCAAACAGACTGGAGGCCCCTCAGCCCATCGGGAAGTGAGCCGGCGTGCACAGAGGGCCGCGCCACCTCCACCGGGCTGAAGGCCCTGCCGTCTCCACCTGTGGGGAGGTCAGCTGCTCTGCCGAGGGCAGGCCCATGCTCTGGGGTGGCCTGTGGTGGCTTTCTGGGTGCACCACCAGCCTGTGAAGCACAGTGGCCCGGCTAGGCCCTGGGACACCGACTCCTGTTCCCCTGCGCTGTGTGGAGCGCCCACTCCTGGGGGGGGGTGGGTAGCACAGCTCCCCGGTCCTTCCCCCTGGGGGTGAGGCAGGGGAGTGAACTAGGCGTGAGTGTGGGCAAAGCCCTGCCACTGACCACGGCCTTGGGGGGCCGCTGCCTCCCCGCTCCGCCCGCCTTCCCTGAAGGATGGGGAGATAGAAAAGTGCTGCCGTTGCTAAGAGCCCCCGGTGTGTTTAAGGGCCCAGCACAGGGCCCCCGTCAGCCAGAGGCCTGACCCCTGCCCTCCTCCCAGAAGCAGGGTGAGCACGGGAAGAGCAGGGGCCCAAGGGGGTGGCAGAGAAGGGAGGTGGTAGTGTCTGGGCCGGATGTCCTCCTCCAGAACAGACTGCTGGCATCCTGACCCTGCACCTGTGGATGTGGCCTTATTTGGGAACAGAGTCTCTGTACACGTACACACATCAAGGTGAGGGCATCACCTGAACCCACATGACGGGTGTCTTCCTGAAAAAGGGACATTTATATACAGGGACACAAGCACATGGGGGGAGGCGCCGTGTGACAACGGAGGCAGACACTGGAGATTCGTCGCCATGAGCCACGGAGCGCCAATGGCTTCCAGAAGCTGGACGAGATGCACAGGGAGCCCCCCTAGAGTGTCTGGGGGAGCGAGGCCCTTGATACAGACTCTGGCCTCCAGAACAAGGAGGGGTTATGTTTCTGTCATTTTAGCTCAGTCTGTGGACTTGGTTACAGCAGTTCTAGGGAACCAGGACAGGCGTGACCGGCTCAGCCAGGGGTGATAAAAGCGGGGCACCTGGGAGCCCCGGGGGGGACGGGCACGGCCAGCGAGCAGGCGGGCAGGCCCGGCTCACCATGTGCGCGATCTCCTCCAGCGTGACCTGGTTGTCTCCTGGGTCCTCCTGCGTCAGAGTCCTGAGGGACAAAACGTGATGAGTCCTGGGCAACCTTGGGCACACGCCCTCGGGGCCCCACCCCTACTGGCCCTTTGCCGGGAGCCTGGCCCTCCCTGCATGGCCTCTTCCTCGTGCACGCCTTCAGGATTCAGTCTCTGGTCCCCTGGCAGGTGAGCTCCTCTGCCGTCTCTGCCCAGGCCCACCTGTGCTGGACCAGCTGTCTATGCGCCTGGCCCCGCCCCACGTGACTGGGAGACTCGGGTGGGTGGCGGCTGACTCGTCCTGCACTGGTGCCAGCACAGGGTTCCTCCGTGCACAAGGATGGCAGGGAGGGGAAGGGCTCCGCGGCTGGAGGACTAGTGGGTGGGGGCGCTGGGAAGCTGGGTGGAGGGAGAGGAGGGTGCTGGGCAGAGAGGAGGGTGCCAGGCAGCAGCATGGAGGCCCGAGGCGCAGCAGCAGGGCTGTGGAAGGCGTGGTGAGAGGAGGCAAGGGAGCGGCGGGCGTGTGGGGGTCGTGGTCACTGTGAGTGGGCAGGGTGGACCCTCCCTCATTGTGCCGGCGACCGAGAATGCTGGGGGAGTGGAACGAGGCCAGGCTGTCAGGGGGGCTGGGGGCTGGTGGCTTGCATGTGCACCTGTGTGCCTATGTGCATGTGTGCACGTGTGTATGCATATGCATGAGTGCACAGGCACGTGTGCGTGTGCCAGTGCGCTGCGCATATGTGTGCAAATGTGCGTGCATACGTGTGAGCAGGGCTGGGTACTGAAGATGAGGAGTCACAGGGATCTAGTATTTGAAGCCTGGGGGAACCACGGGGCTGGGCAGGGGTCTTGGGAGGCACAGTGGGGGGTCTGGTTGGAGGCAGGCTACAGACCTTGGTTGGGGGAAGGGAATGGGAAAGTCTGGGCCAGAGATGGGGCGCGGGGCAGGGAGGGGCAGCTGGAGCTGGGCGAGAAGGGAGGAGAGGCCTGCCCCTGGGCCCACCCACAGGCAGGGCTGGGAGGGGCAGACCGGGTCAGCGGATGGGGGCCTCAGGTGGGCAGGGGCCCGAGTGCAGCACTGCCAAGCAGCTCACGGAAGCCACAGCATGTCTCCCCTGGCTCAGCGCGGCCCCTGGAGCGGGTGCTCCCCTGGTCCAGGGAGGGCAGCGAGGCTCTGGGAAGGCCCGTCCAGGGCCACACGGCCAGGTGCCGGCTGAGCCAGCTCAGTGGAGGGGCTGCTGACCCCACCTCCACCAGGAGAGGTGGCTGGGCAGGGGAAGGACAGACTTGGGGCCAAACTGACCCGTGTGGTTCAGCAGGCATTTCCCAGAAGCCACAAACAGGCTACCAGCGCGGTCCCAGTCCCACAGGCTGCACCACGATCACCGGAATGTTCCCCAGGCTGTCCAACATGTGGCCACTCATGTGGCTGAGAAACTGAATTTGAACCTTATTTAACTTTATTTTAATTAAGATTTACAGCCATAGCTGGCCAGTGGCCACACACAGGGCAGCCTGGACTAGATTGGTGTCTGCAGCTGTGCATGTGGACAGAGAAGCAGGCGGGGCTCTTGCCTCCCGGTGGTCAAGGTCTGATGCAGGGCGCAGGGGCAGGACAGTGGAGCCTGGCTGCGGAAGGGGGTGCACAGCCCCCAGGCACTCCAGGCTCCTGCCCAGGCTGTCTGCCCTCCTGGGAGGGGCTCCCTCCTGTGTGTGGGTAGAGGGTAGGGCCTGGCTCCAGCGGGCGGCCAAGGGCTGCCCCCCACCTGACGATGTTGGCTGCCGCCTTCCTCTCCTGGGTCAGGAGCTCCGGGTCGTGCATAACCTCCTCCAGGAAGCCGATCACTTTGCATTTGAGCTCCTCGTTGGTCTCAAAGTCCTGCGGGGAGGAGGTGTGCATCTGGTCCCGGCTGAGGCCAGAAGAGGAGGCTGTCGCCCCTGAGTTGGCCCGCGGAGGCTGCCCTGCCTCCCTGCCCTCTCACTGGCTGGGCCAGACACCAGGGGGCCTGGAGACCTTGTGTAAAGGCACCGGGTGAGGCCAGGGACTACCCCTCAGCGGGCTGCACCCCTAGGCGGGGACCCTGGCAGGACAGATCTTCCCACACCCCTCCTGCACACTGAGGTGGAGAGATACAGCCCCCACCCCTTGCAAGTCCTGACCCCTCCCGGGGGTTCCAAGCAGGTCCTTCTGAGAACATGGGGTGGCACACCTGGGCCCCTCCTGCCAGTGCCCGGCTAATGCCTGCCCTGCTCCCTTGGCCCTCTGCTGGTCCTGGGGCGGGGACCCACAGGTCCCCAGCAGCCCACCCAGAGGCTGCGCACCCACTGAGAGTCCCCAGAGACCCTGTGGCATAGCATGTTGTGCACCCACTGAGAGTGCCCGGAGACCCTGTGGCATAGCACACTGTGCACCCACCTGAGAGTGCTTGGAGACCCAGTGGCGGAGCACGTTCAGCACACGGTTGGTGGCAGCCCTGCGGATCACAAACTCCTTGTCTCCATTCCTCTGGTCAGTGGGAAACCCTGGTGGCACAGGGCAGAGGGGAGAGAGGGTCTGTGAGGACAAGAAATGAGCCCGGCTCTCGTCTGGATGTGAGCCCCAGGCCTGGTGCTGGGGCTGCCTCTCGCGTTAGCCGTGAGGAAGGCTGCCAGTGGGGGTGAGGAAATGTTGGATGGCCAGCCCAGGTTCTGATGAGCCAGGTGGGGTGTCGTGGCTTCGCACGGACACAGTCCACAAACACCCACCTCCACTAGGCCTCTGCGTTTTCAGAAGCTGCTGGAAGATTCTGGCAGCTCTCCAGACAGGACCCCCAGCCCCCAACCCAGCCTCTGCCTTGTACATGGGGGGTAGAAGAGGGGGACAGAGGTTCCCAGGGGCAGTGGGCTTTACCGGAGCATGTCTTCCCAGCAGCTGAGGGGATGGGTGGGTGGAAGGGGCCTCCGGGGAGGAGGGCCAGTGTCAGCCGAGGCCCAGAGTAGTGAGTGGCAGACACTGACGGGGGTCGAGATCTGGGGTTGTGGCTGCCGTGGCCGGCCGACCCCAGGGCCTGTGAGTGGGGAGCCCTGTCCCACCCCAAACCTGCGCTGGCCAAGGACATCCTCCGGTACTTCTCCTTGTTCGGGGTACCCTCGTTGGCTCCTGCAGTTGCTATGGCGAAGGCAGAGGCTGCCGACAGGGCACTGCGATTGCTGTCCAGTTCACGACAGGAGGTCATGACGACCCCGTTGTTGTAGGAAAAGAGCGGGAACTCTGGAGGGGCAGGGACCAGCCTCAGCTTCCCCGCTGCAGCCCACAGGGGATTAGAAAGCCTGGGGCTTCTGCACCCAGGGCTGGCCGGACATGGCCAAGGTCCCTGGTGGCCGCCCTCTGCTTCTGAGTGAAGTGTCCGGTCACCCCTTGCCCCCCGCGCTGCTCCAGGGCCTGTTCATTGGAATGAACGGCTAACCCGTGCAATGCCTGACCTCCACCATTCACACCGACAGGCTCTCTGGCCAGTGGGGTAGAGGGAGGGCACACTCAAAGTCATCAGCCCCCAACTAGCTGTGTGGCCTCGGGTGAGCCACTGGACCTCTCTGAGTCTCAGCCATCTCCACATTAGGGGGCTGCTAATATCTATGTCAGCAGGACATGATGCTCGAGGAGACTGGATGGAGGGCAAGTCTTACATGCGCCATGGGGTACCGGCACCAAGGAACCGTTACTTTTTTAGTAGGAAGAGTCGCATCTGACTCCAGAAACCTTCAGCCTCATCTCCTAAGTCTCTGGACTGCAAGCACATACATACCCTCTGAGGCATGAGGTTCATTCTAAAAGTGCCAGGCCAAGCTGGGCTCTCCGTGCGCTCTGTGCTCCCAGGTCAGGAGCCAGCCTGCCTGCGGTGTCTGGGCAGCTTCTGTGCACAGCTGGGTGACCCTGCCACTCACCGTGTCTCCTCCAGGGCCCAGGTTCTGGGCAGCTGGGGACCCGGGCCCAGTCTGTCTGTGGGAGCAGGGGCTCCAGAATGGGGCTCAAAGCAGGAGGGGCTGCTCTGTGGGGGAGGCGTCCCAGAGCTCCCCATGTGGGAGGTGCCTAACCGGAGCTTTACTGCTTCCCCGGGGCCCTTTGGGATGGTGCATCTGAGCCTCTGATGGGACCATCACCCTCTTGGCGTCCTGCCCCGTATTGGAAGCTGGGAGTCACCTGGCCGCTCTATGAGACCATCAGACCTGAAGGGCCTGGCATGTGGCAGGAGCCCAGGAACCACGGTCCCAGCCTGGTCTCCCCATGTGTGCCCTGCAGCTGCGCAGGCTGGTCTGGAGTCGGGGCTGCAGAGCAGTCCCGGGAGGCGGGAGGAGCTCCTGCCCTGGGGCCCTCCGACAGGGCCACGCCCACCCGCCCCTCCCAGCCTGACTCTCACGTCCGCTGGGAACCGTCTGGGTTCGGATCCGCGAACCACACCTGAGGAATTTTTGCTTTTGAGCGCCTTGGGCGTCGTCGGAGACCAGGTCGGGGGCGTCTCAGCGTCGCCGTCGTCGCTGCGGGTCGCGTCGTCGTCCGACTCCTCCCTCACCGAGGCTTCCGAGCCTGGGGGGAGAAGGGCACCGTTTACGGGTCTCCAGTCGTCACTGATTTTAAGTTCAGGTCCTAATTGACTGAAGCGAGGCTGCAAGCGTTGCATTTACCTGTTGAAGGAAGGTTAGTGGCTGGTTGCGTGGGACCTGGACTCCTGGCGCAGACGGGCACCACGCATCTCCAAATGCCTTTTCCTGCCCGGCTTCCCAAACCTCAGTGGGCACCCCGGGGGTCTTGCTAGAATGCAGACCCTGGCACGGAGGTCTGGGAGGCTGAGAACCTGTACTTCAAACATGCGCCCGGGGGCTGCCTGCACAGCTGCTCTGTGGACCATGCGGCGATCCGACGGCCCGGCTCCCCTGCTTTCACTTGGTGTGTGAGAAGCAGCTTAGCTGGGCGACCACCTGCCGTTGGCCCAGGAAGTCCTGCCTCACACCTGCTGCCCCACGTCCCGTCACTGTGACAGCATCCTGGTTTGGGCCGCAAATTACAGTCTCCCTAAGCTTAAGAGACCTAACAGTTTACCCATCCCGGGAACACTGAGGAATTATATTAAAAGCCCAGCTCTGGCACTGTGAGATCTTGGTCAGAAACTCTTAACATCTTTGGGCCTCAGTGTCCCCGACTGGAAAGGAAGTAGAATGACCCTTGACCTTTCTGTGAACCCAAGGGAGGTTCAAGTCTTCCCTTATGAAGGGTCCACACGCTGCCCACCCCAACCCCCACCCACACAGACAGGTTCAGGGCTTGGTGGGAGGCTGGCAGGAGATGGTTTCTCAGAACTGTCTTGTCCAACTTTACCATGTGCCAGGCCTGGGGTTTCTGAGAAGCCCAGGGATGTGTGCACTTGCACACTTTTGAGCACGTGTGCTGACCCAGACCCATGCTGGCGGCACCCAGGACGTGTCCTCACTGGAACAAGGACAGAACCGGCCAGACTTCTGGGTAGCATCTCCCAGAGCGGTCAGGGGCTCTGAGAGGGGGTCCCAGCTGCCCGCATCTACTCACCCTGTTTGCCGATGGCCGAGGGGTCTTCGGGCTTCTCGGGGGCCGTCTCTCCCTCGTCTGGAATCTTGCTGGCAAAGCTGCTGGACACGTAGAGCTTGCTGGTGTCCAGCGCGGCCTTGCTGAAAGGCGACATGGCCGGGAACGTGGGGGTGTAGCCGTTGGAGCCGCAGCTGAGGGTGGCCAGGTCCAGCGCCTTGCCGCCCGTGATGATGGGGATGTTCAGGGACAGCTTCCGCCGGCGGCTGGGGGACGATGTCTTGGTGATGGACAGGGGCGGTGGCGAGGAGAACTTGCGGGTCGCACGTGGGGACTTGGGGGGGTCGCCGTACAGAAGCTTGTTGTTCTGACCACTGGCAAACAAGAGCTCGAGGGACCTGCAGCAAGGGCATGTCAGTGCCAGGGACGCTTGGCCCCGGCCCAGGATGGGGTTTCCCTGTCTCTGGTGGGGACGTGGCAGCCATGGGTATCCCGACACAGCCTGACCCCTGAGCAGGCCTGTCTGAGGGAGGCTAGGACGCAGGGCGTGTGCGAGTGGACAGCCTGGGCCAGGCATCTGCCAGCGCAGGTGTCCTGCTCTGAGGGCTTGGGCAGGGGGCTGGGGCTCTCGTGGCACCGCAGGGCTGTCTGAAGCTCCTTCTGGGCAGCTGCAGACGCTGATGAAGTGCTAAGGGTCCTCCTTACCTGCAGCCTCTGCTAAACCTCTCCTGCCTACCCCGGGGCTGGCGTCCCTTCCTGTGCTGACCTCCAGCACAAGCAGGTGCTGGGGCTGCTCACCACTGGGAAGCCGCAGCTGGAGGTGCAACTGCTTCATCTGAGGCCTCCCTACTCTGAACCCTGAGTCCTTGTACCCTACTGGGGCACTTGGCCTGCCTCAGGCACAACTGGGGGCAGGAGGCTAACTGGGGTTTCCCAGCAACACTGGCAATGTCCCCCACCAGAGGACAGGGCTGGGCTGGAACAGGCGACAGGACAAATTGCTGCTTGTGCGCACGGCATGTGCCTGCCTGGGTCCTGCTTCACCGTTGCCCTGGGAGGCTCCTTATCTCATCACAGGCAGGAAACAGGCTCTGAGAAGGTAAGGGCAGGGCCGGCTGCTGGGTGGGAACCTGCCTCTTCCCACTGTGGGGCTCTGCCCGCTGGTCCTGGGAACGACCTCGGCTGGTTTCAGGTGTGAACCCATCCAGGATGGGGTGGTTTCTCCTGCTCTGCCAGGGCCCTTCCCAAGGGATCCAGTGTGAGGCCCTCCTGCCCTGAAGAGGCCCGGGCAGGCGCACAGCGAGTGTTGGTGGGCAGGGTGGGGGCTGGGGGACGGCAGGCACACTGTCACCCTCAGTGGGCCTGCTCCGGCAGCAAAGGCGGAGTGGGAGGGGGGATGTTGGGGGCTGCCTGGCCCCTCCTCACATCTTGAGCTTGCATTTGGGACCAGCGTGGCCTCCCGGTGGCCCTGGGGAGTTGGTGTAATTCAGGAGCTCACCCCACACAGCCCTCAAGCTGAGGCTCTGGCCCCATGCCCTGCAGGGTGGGGTGGGGGGCAGCTCTCAGAAGCTCTTGAGGCCCAGGATTGGTGGCCAGAACAGCGCCAGGCAGGAAAGGAAAGGGCTGCGGCCCCTCCATTTCTGGCGGATCCCTCCTGGAGCCACGTCCATTCCTGCTTTGCCTCCTGCTGGCAGCCCTGGGCAGGCCCTTCAGGCTCTGCTGACCCAGGATTGCAAACCGCTGTCTGCATCTCAAACTGGGATGCAGGCAGGCAGGTGCGGTGCTTGGTACCACCTTCACCTGGGAACCGCTTGGTGAGATGGTATGAAGGTTTCTGTTCAGCTACGATTCTGGGTGCCTGGCTGTCGGACCGGGATTCGCCGTCAGTGAGTCCTATGGACTTTGCAGTTCTGGCCCCGGGCTGGGCTCGGGCCTTGGTGGTCCAACACTGGCCCTGCCATGTGGCTGCCCTGCTAGAATTCTCCCCGGTGGGACCCAGGGCAGCTCCCCAGTGCGTGGCCAGAGCTGGGGAAGGGCAACTGGACACCGGCTGGGACAGACCCGTGAGGAGGCCGGAGGGACTGACAACAGGGGACTCCCACCCCTCCTGTCCCTCTGATGGGCTGGTGGCCGGTATTCCACGAGCCTGGCCCTGGGTTCAGGTCCCCGCTCAGCCGCAGACCTCTCGGCCTCCCTGTGTCCCAGCTGGCCCAGGGACAGGCCTGAGCTGGCCAGCAGAGACGGGATGGCGGCCTTGAAGCCAAGGCCAAAGTGGCCTGTGCCACATGCCAGGCTCCCCCAAGTGTTTCCAACGGGGGGCTCCCTTGCCTCTTGAGAGCGGCACGTGGTCTAAGCAGGGAAGGGATGAGAACCCCTCCCTCTGTGCCCCTCCTTCCCTTTCTTCCTCTCCATGTTTGTTTCTTAAGTGGTGAGGGCCAGGAAGCACTGTCCTTGGGAGAGGGGCGGGTCTGCTTCAAGGAGGGAAGCTAAGAGCTGAGCGCAGGTGTGCCCGCAAACTCCACCCCAGGGGCAGGCGGGCAGAGTGGAGCATGCTGGGACTGAGCAGCAGCCCCGGGCAGGCCAGGCCTCCCACCTCCATGTAGAGGGCAGGCTTGGCCGGGGGTGGCCCACACACCCCTGCTCAGGTCACAGCTGCCCCCCAGGGCCCGGCCAAACTAGCTGGCAGGAGGGGCCCACCTGGCGGGGATGGCACTGATGGGCTTCCTGTAGATGGCGATGAGCTTGTCCAGAACAACAGCAGCTGTGGCGAAGACGCGGTAGGAGTGCAGGAAGGTGTTGAGGAAGTCGATGCTCAGGAAACGCAGGTCGGTCAGCCGCTCCAGCAGCCGCCCCACGCTGGCGTACCGGATCTGCAGCACTTTGCAGGAGTTCATGGTCTTGCTGAAGCGGATGTCCACGTCATCGCAGTACAAGGAGGTGTCGGACCTGAGGGAGGAAGGACCAGGACAACCGGTCTCAAGTTGTCTGAGCCCGTGGCTGGCTGCCTGACCAGGCGGCGGGCATGCAGAGGGCTGGCCCACCACTGCCTCCCCGGCGTTCCGACAGCCGAGGGCTGGACAGACGGCTGAAGGACTGGCTGGCTTATTCTGGGTGCAAGGAAAGCTTTGGAAGGATGACCTTGAGGGAGAAGGGCTGCAATTTCCATCCTAAAAACTTGACATTAAAAAATTCCAAGAAACACCAGATAAAGTATAACAAACTTAATACCATGTTGCCAGATTCATAAGATATAAGGGAAATCTGTTTACACAGAAGCGTGGGCACAAGTGTTCACAGCAGCATTATTTATAATCACCCGAAAGTAGAAACAATTCAGATACCCATCACATGATAAAAGGATAGGAGCGTAAGGTCTATCCCTATCACCAGCTAGAAAAAGGAACGAAGCGCTGATGTGTGTTGTGACACAGAAGGACTTGAAATCATGCCAGAGGAAGCAGCCAGAGACAGAAGCCCAGAGATGGTATGATGTCATTCGTGTAAACTGTCCTGAACAGCCCACCCAGAGGCACAGAAGGTAGGGTGCCAGGGGACAGGGGTGTGGGAACTGGAGCTGATGCTAATATATACAGGGTATCTTTTCAGGGGGATGGAAACATCCCGCAATTAGAAAGTGATGATACGATAAGGTGAATATACTGAAATCCACTGAATTGCACACTTTCAAATGATGTTTCTATGGTATGAATTGTGCCTCAATAAAAAAATAAGTAGGGGTGAAAAAGATAGGAGGGAAATTCCCAGGGGCCAAAAATGAAGAGAAATTCGGAAACTGGCTGAAGCTTTAGTCACCGTTAGGGCATCTGCTGCCCTTGGACACCAAGTACCTTGGGTTTTGGGAGGGAAGTAAACAGGGCTGTGGGGGGAGGAGTGAGACTCTGGGAGGGCTGCACCCCCAGTGACAGGTGGCCGAGGGCCATCCACCCACCAGGAACGGGAGACTGTGGTGCCCTGTGTTAGCCCAGGGCCCGGGGGTGGGGAGTCAGGAGCACAGAACTCCCTGGAGAGAGTGTTATTTGCCCTCCAATTTTTGAACAGAAACCTGTAACTAAGGTTGTGGTCTGGGAACCCCAGACTAGGAGCATAAAGAAGTCACAGGCTGTAATGCTCAGGACACCCGGGGGACACAGACCGCAAAGCCTTCCTGGAAGGGCACCTCTCAGCCAGGCTCTAGGGGATATTTGCAGATAAATCCCTACAGAAAATGGGCTCACAATTCAAAATTAAAAGCCAGGTGAGAAATTAGGTCACCATGAGCAAGGGTCAGCAGATACAGCAATCACTGAATTCAGACCCCCAAGAGTCTACTGTTTTCCAAGTGTGAAAATTCCGCTTTTTGTTATTAGTCATCTCTCTGCAAGCCACCTGCTGAGGCCCCTCCTGCCTTAGTTCCCAAGAGGCTGAGCTCACTTCACACTGTCCAGCCCCTGTGCAAGGCAGGATGGACTTCTTAGCAGCTTCAGAAGGGGTTCTGGGCCTCACCCGGGCTGCTCAGTAAAGCATTAGGGTCAGTCTTTAGACGTCAGGTATCTGACTAAAAGTGAACCCCCTGGGGTTGGGCAGGCGTCCTGCACCCCAGGCCAAGGTGATTTCTGCATGGGGTGGGAAAGCGCCCCAAGCCAGAGCCATCTCTCTTTCTGAGACCTTCCAAGTTGGGTCTGGAGGCATCAAGTCCCGGTCCTTGCAGGCTGCTGAGATGTGAGGACAGGTGCTGGGCACAGTCAGCTATGGGGTGAGCTGAGTCGGTCACGGGCCTGTCTCTCCGCCGTGTGTGAGCTCAAGGCCTGTGGTGAGGGGGGGACAGTGGGACTAATGGCCGGTGCACCGCACGGCATCCTCTGGAGTCAAAGCGCGGGACGTGGGCTTCCAGTAGGGTTTGGAAGTCATCTTCGGAGTAGCCGCGGTTTTTCGTTTTCTGGACTGTGACTCCTTATGACCGTGTTTTCCTCTGCGTTCTGCCTGCTGGGAGGCGTGCACTCACGTCTCATGCTCACGCTGAGTTCGTGCAGGGTGGGGGGGCAGCCTCGTCGGGGCCTCCCCTTTATTCCCTTCCTTACGTTCCATTTGCCCTCAATCCTTATACGCGATGAGTGTATTTTATCTGGTTGTTTCTTATGCATTTGGTGGGCTGCCTCAAGGCCCGTGTGTGTTCTGGGGGACAGGATCAGAAGAACAGGCTCTCGCTCAAACCGGTCCAGTCTGACAGGCAACGTGGGCCCCACGTGTGCCACAGGTGTGCGAAGTCCACGGGCTTCACTGGGGAGGACTAAGTGAATTCCTGTGCACAGGTCACCCGAGGCCTCGCAAACAAGCGCTGGCTCCGAAACAGGAAATCGAATCCAGGAGGCGGGAGGTGTCGGCATCTCCCACTCACAAGCGGCAGACCCAAGCTCAGAGGCGTTAAGCGACTTGTCCAGTCACCACAGAGCCGGCGCTGGGGGTGGGGCTGTGGCCTGTGGCTCGGACTCCTCCTGTGGCTGCACACCACTGGGGTCACAGGCAGGGACCTGGAAGGCCTGGAGTGCACGGAACCGCCCAGGGTAGCTCCCCCTCCGGCACGCGGCAAGGTCACCAAAGGCCTGCTTTGTCACGCTGGCCTCACGCACTGACTGGCGGGAGAGCACACACCTGGCCAAAGAGTGCGCCCCGAGTCGCAGAGGCCTAGGTTACCCAGATGTTGCCCCAGACAGTGGCAGCATGGCCAGCAGGCAGTGGGTCCTGTGTGTGCCAGGTGGGCATCTGCAGGCTTGGGATTCAGGGGTTCAGATGGAGGTCCGGGAGTGGAGGGCCGCCCGGGCTGGAGGAGTGGGGGCAGGAAGGCCACCTGCGCTGCCAAGGGCCCCGGGAGCTGTGTCCGTCCCGCCCGGAGCCAGACCCCTCGCCCCCGGGGCTGCTCAAACACAGGGGCCCTGGAGCCCATGTTCTCCAAGAGTTTTCATTTTGTAATTAGGAAAAGAAAAATAGTTATTAAAAAAAGGAGTGCATGGGTTTCATTCCTCATGCTTTTAACAGCCTAATAAAAATCCATATTTTAAAAATAAGCAGCAACAGAAACCCAGAGCCACCATCCAAATACTCGTCAATCCCAGACACACAAGCGAACGGACACTCCGGACACCCGGCAAGGAGCACCAGCATCCCCAGGCCACCGTGGCCAGGCCCAGCGCCCCTGCAGGCTCGGGTGGGCTGCTGCTCTGCAAGGCGGCGCCCAAGGCGGGCGGCAGGCACTCACTTGATCATCTGGGGCACAGTGACCTTGGAGTTCTCCTCGAATGCGTTCATCATGAGCCCATTGCACCGGATGTTGTCCACGCACTGGAAACAGAGAGGGGACCCCAGGGTCAGCCTTGGTCTCTGTCCCGGGACCCAGGCCAGCAGGAGCTCTGCATCCTGAGGGGTTCACGTGCCCCCGCCTGACACATGTCCTCGGGGTCAAGGGCAGGGTCAACGCGGGGCATCCCTCAGACTTGGGTTGGAAGTCAAGTCCCACATCAGTGACCCCTCGGGGTTTACCTGGCCTCCTGAACCTCAGTTTCCTTGTCTTCAAATGGGGATAATGACTCTTTTATCTCACTGGGTTGTTTGCCAAACAGAAGCCTCTGGCCCTGGCCACCCTGTTGCTGACCTCTGAGGGCAAGTGCCAGGGCAGGATCAGACCCACAGTGGCCTGGGTCTTGCTCACGGGAAGCCAGCCCGGCAGCCCTCCACGCCCTGTGCCCTCTGTCCTCTGTGCACAGTGGTGCCCACACTGGTGCTGTGGACCGTCCTCTCCATTAAAACTCCCGCCCGGGGGAGGCAGGGCTGCCAGCATCAGGGGAACAGAAGACCAAACCTTTGCTCAGCCTACGAAAATACTCACAATCCAAACTTCGCTTTGAATCAAAAGCACCCACCCAAACAAAAAGACACGTCACTGCCTCCCGCTCAAGCCCGCACGCTTCTGCCCAGAGAGGGTTTCTTCCTGGTGTGGTGCTGGGGGCCTCTGTGGGCGCTCGTCCCAGAATCTCCTGGTTTTGAGGGTGCATGTGGGGGTCAGTCACTCAGACGTGCAGAGAGGCTGGCGCGGTGGGTGGTGGGAACCCCAACCAAGTGTCCTCGTCAAGGCCCGGCCCCCACCCCAGCTTCTTTCACCGGCCACTCTCAGACCTTTAGCTCCGGATCTATCAGCAGCCCCCTAATGCAGGGCCCCTGGCCATGGACTGGAGCCTCCTGGAGGCATCCGAGGGCCTGGGGAGGGGGCTGGGGCCCCTGACCCCTGTTGGCATCAGCAGGGCAGAGCCCAGTGAACGACCCTGAACCATTGGGGACACAAGAGGGGTTTTCCTGCTTTCTGTTTTCTCTGGGCACACTGGGTGTTTTGAGGACACATAGTAAGGTACCTTGTGCCATTATCCCTGCCCTGCCCTGCTCTTCTAGGGTGGCACGGTGGGCAGGTAGGTTAGAGGGAGGGATGCGTGCAGTTGGGCTGCCCAGAGAGGTGCATAAAAGGAGGGCTGGGGTGGGGGGGGCAACTGTGAGTGTGGTGCAAACTCCGGTCCCCATGGGGGTCGCTCGCTGGCCCAGGGAGGGGCCTGTCCCAAAGCCTGGAGCTGCTGACGCTGCTGACAGCCTCCCACTCAGATTTCTGGCCTTGGTCCCCGGGAAGTCTGTTTCTGCCATGCACCCAGTGGGGTGACCGGCCCTGTGCAAAGACGGAGGCTGGGCCTGGTAGGCGTGTGCTTTCCTTGTCCCAGCTCAGCTGTGCCTGCCTGCTTGGGTAGCAGCGTGCAGACTGCATGCACACCGATGGCCTGGGGCAAGTGCTGAAAGGCTGGTTCAGGCCCCACAGACACCTGCAGGTTGTGTGCCACAGGGGGCCGGGAGAGCTTGGGACCCCAGCGTTTTAAAGCATCACTGCAGCAGGTGACCCATATGCAGGGGTCCCCAGCAACTGGGCAGGTGCCCTGGGGACTCTGCCTCGGGTGGGCTGTCACTCACGGTACTCTCTTCACATCAGAACCCCGCAGCCATCCCCACGCCCCCGGCCAGCTCAGGCGTGAAGGGCTGGGTGGAGCTGCTCACCTGGCTGATGTCGCTGGTCCACGCCGCCTTCTCCTGTCTGGACGAGGCCACAAGGATCACCGTGAAAGGTGGGGAATCCTTCGGCTCCACTCCAATCTTAAAGTCCAAGCGGTCCGTGTCTTGGCTGGACCCTTTGGCTTCCGGTAGCAGAACAGGGAGTTGGCAGAGTGAGGGTGGGCCCTTCTGAGTTGGAAGACCTTTTGATGACACCTCGCCTCACCCACGGGGGAGCCACTGCACTGGTACGGTGTCAGGCCACTTGCCCGTTTCTCCCTAAAGTGTGGAATCCCTACACAGAGGTGGGGTGTTCCCAGGGTCATGGGACCAGCCTTCTGCCCTCCTTACGCCCAGTGAGGATGCCAAGACCCCAGTAGGGCAGCAGCTGAGCCAGGATGGGAAGGGGCCGCACAGCGGGCCGGCCCCTCCTGCTACCCCTGGTGGCACCAGGCCATGGGAATGTCACACTGGAGATGGGCACAGACCCGACTGGACGTCTGGCTCAGTTCACAGCCCCCCAAAGCTGAAGCAAATACTAGATATTTCTATTACTGTTCTTAACCTGAGAAGTTCCTTGAACTCTTGGAAGCTGTTTCCTTGGAAAAACTACGGTCAGTTTTGGGATCCCTCTGAATGCTCCCACAGGAATGGGGTGCCCCAAATGGGGCAGGGAGGTGTGGGGGGGTCGGCACTGCTGCTCGCTGGCTGTGTGACCTGTGGGTGGCGCCCCTGCGCTCTGGGCTGCAGACACCTCCTGGGCAAGCAGCGGGGGGTGTGTGTGTGTGTGTGATGTCCCTGAGCCCCCACCCCTCCCAGTCCTGAGCCCAAGAATTTGTGATTCCTTGCTGGGCACAGAAGGGCCACTCCATGTGACTCAGGGTGGGGCGATGCTGGCAGAGAGGCAGGGTGTCTGTGTGTTGAGTCGGAGGCGTGCGTGACCATGCCTCTGTTCCCCCAGCCAAGCAAAGGAAAGGGCTTCGGGGCTGACAATCCTGCCCACGTCCAGGCTTTCCCACAGAGCAGCTGAGGCCGTGAAGGAAGGCCACGAGGGGGCATCTGTGTGGCTGTGTGTGCGTGGACAGGTCCCCGGGCCCTGGCAACTCCTCCTGCCCCTGCTGCCTGCCCCGGCTCTGATGGGGCTGGATCTGTGGTTCAGATGCATCCGGGATAAGGCACACCCCCAGGGGAGGGCATCAGAGCTGGGCAGGGGGGCCAGTAAACAGGGAGACAAGGATCAATTTGGCACAACTAAGGGGCACTTGTGACCCTGCAGCCTAACCTCAAGTGCTGACCCCATGCCCCAGTCCTGATGCCTGGGGAGGGGACCCCCAAGCACACCTCCCCAGAGGCTTCCAAGCACCAAGACCGCCCCCCATCTACCCCCTGCAGCTGGTCAAGGCCCCATTCCAGGCCTTTTCCCCAAATTGCCTTCCCTCCCGCTACTCTAACCACCTGCAGGGGACAGCTCCCCGCACTCCCTCTGCTGGTGGCCCATGTGTCCCCACACATCCATTCTTCCCCACTGGAGGTCAGAGATGGGTGCTTGCTCCTTAGCTGTTTGGGTATGTAAACAAGGGGTGCTTATTTGGGGGATGCTGTGACCCCCAAACCTAATGGCGCCACAAGTCCAGAGACCCAGGAAGCTTAGAAGGAGGAAGGCAGAGTGAGGCTAATACCTGCTGGGCCAGGGGGCTCCTTCTCCAAAGACCCAGCCCGGTCTCTCCCGGTCTAGGAGAGTGGCCACCCCACTCAGCACCCCCACACCCCCCCAACAAAAGCCATGCCTGGGCCCAACCTTTCAGGGTGTGTGCGTGTGCACCTGTGTGAGCACCTGTGTTCTCCTGTGTGTGCATCTGTGTGAGCACCTGTGTGAACACACATGCACCCAAGCCATGTCCACCTACCTTCCTCTTCTGTGCTTTCAGGGTCCTCCAACAAGGTGCAATCAATGAGTGAGATGACTCCATTCTGGAAAAAGCAGGGGGCAGGCATGCCATTTAGGGAGCCCCAGAGCATCGGCACGGGGCAGGATTTAAAGGGAGCAGCACGTATACAGGCACGTATGTGTATGTTATATTCCAGGTGTGCATATGGCTTTTAAGTTGAAGGACTTAATCTTCCTGTAAGAAGCCCAATGAAGTGGATCAAATGGGATTGTCTCAGAGAAGCCTCCCCCCAGTGAGGGTCAAGCTTGGGCCGGGGGTGGAGGGCCGGGAGTCTGGCCTGCCTGGCCCCTTCAAGCCCCTGCAAGAGCTCCGAGGCATCGCCTCGCAGCCACGAACCTGCAGAAGTTTGCCATCGCCTATTCTAGCCCAAAGCCCTCAGGGCGCCAGTGGGAAAAGGACCAATCTCACAGACATGCCCCAGTATTGCTGTCCTGGCCGCACAGATGAAGAAATGAAATCTGAGAGTTATGTGTCTCACCCATGGTCACTGGACAGGTGGGGACCTGAGCCCAGCCCATGGCCAGTTACTGGCTTTCATTACTAGGAATATCTGGCAAAATGCCTCCTCCTGGGGTGTGAAAGGGTGTGAGATCCCCTGATGCTGTGATGACAAGAGTGGCCCCAGCTGGAGTGGTCGTGAGACACGCCCACGGATTCTTGATGCCCCTCCCTTCAAACGGTGAAGCCTACTCCCCTGCCTCCTGCGTGTGGGCTGACTGAGGGGCTCACTTCCCACTGAGAGTAAGGCAGAAGGAATGGGGTGCACCCCTGGGGACAGTGGCCCCTGCCTCTCTAGTCTCTCAGATCACTTGCTCTGGGGGAAGCCAACTGCCCCATTAGGACGGGGCTGGGTAGGTACTGATGCCTCCAGCCAACAGCTGGGTGAGGGGCCACACTGGAGGAGGGTCCTGTGGTCCTAGTCACTGCAGATGAGCAGCCCAGCAGCCACACTGACTGTGCCTCCTGAGACCCCATGTCCAGCAAGCAGTGAAGCCACCCCAACTTTCTGACCCACAGAGACAATGAGACATCGAGTGCTTGTTTTAAGTGGCCACTCACTACCCAGCAACAGGTAAGAAATACAGTGACAGACGGTGACAGAGGCCTCGCCCGGCAGCCAGTCTGTCTATGAAAGTGTCTGCAGCCCAGGATGCCAGCTGGGAGGCAAGCAGGGCTGGGGAGGGCATCAGGGGCCCCCCGTCCTGGGCTCTGCCCTGTGCTCGGCTCTTGGGTGGCCTTGCCGGGCCTTGACCTGCTGGGGACGTCACTGCGCTCGACAATCGTGAGGCTCCGCCAGCTCTAACATTTCCCTCCTGTACGCCACAGGCACTCCTGGGGCAGCTTTCAATCTTGTGCGTGTGCAGCATTCTGCTTTCGGAAGGGACTCAGGTGTCCCGTTTCCAGGCGGACCTCAAGAGAAGCAGTTGGGTTCGGCTTATGGTTTAAGAGCGGAGACCCTGGGGCCAGTACTGTGTTCAGATACTCGCTTTACCACCTGCTTCGAGAAGAGCCAATTTCCTTAATGGATGAAACGGGTTGTTCCAGGAGTTAGACATGAAGCGTTTGGAGCAGCAATCTTGTGCGAGGGCCGCTACTATTACCAGTACAGGGCTGTTACTGTACGACCAGGAGCAGCATTGACTGGGTCCCCCCGAGCACCCCCGGGGACCAGGCAGGAGCCATGCACTCAGCGTCCGCTGGCTCACCTCACCCCCACCGCACTGCCCAAACGGCACCACTGTTTGCAGGTAACTGGCCGGCGGCTCAGCCAGGGGGCAGTGCCAGGATTCGAGCTGCGCCCCAATGCTGTGCCCTCCCCAGTACCCACAGAGACGTTAAAAATGCAAACAAGCAGCTCCCCGAACCGAAGTGAAAGACTAAACATAAAGGTGCCCTTCAGACCAGGAAACTGCCCTCTGGTCTCCTCCCTGACCTGTGGGGGCAGGGATGGTTGCAGAGGCCGCTCCACAGCTAATAAATAATGAAAGCTTCTTTGGTACGTAACGTGGTTGAAACTGGAGTCATGGGTACTGGTCAGTTAAGTTCTCCCTGTGCTGCTGACCAATCTGCCAGCGTGTCCACGTAAGCAGCGTGTCCCCCAGAGCTGCGCTTGGTCTCCGAGCTCTGCAGGAGGCTCCTGGCTGGGCACCCGGGGGGCCCTGAGCTCTGGCTCAATGAAGGGCCCCTTCTGGGTGGATTTGAAGCCTCCACAGCAGGATTCCATGGGGACGGACTCATGCTGGGGTGCCAGTGCTCCACACTCCACAGAGCAGAGGCGGCCGCCCAAGCTGGGCAGCACCTCGCCGGAGGGCAGCTGTTCATCCCCATTGCTGACAAGGAGTGAGGTGTAGAGAGGTGGGGGCTTTTCCGCCCCCTCTAAACCTCAGGGCGGCAGGCCACGCAGAGTGCCATGCGGGGAGCGTGCATTCTGCCTGGGGTGCAGGCTCTGCAGCTGGCACCTGGGTGGACCCTGGAGGGTGTCTTCAGGGGAATAAAGGCCCCACCGCGAGCAGATAGCAGGAGCCCGGCCCCAGGGTCTGTGAAAGGGCAGGAGATGGGCGCACTCCCTGCGCTTCAGGGGTGGGCTGGTTAGCTGAGCGTGGGCCTCCCGTAGGGCTGGGCCGGGGGAGCCCGTGGTGCCTGGGAGGCCCCGGGAGGGGCTGTCCCGTCTCCTTTTGGGTTCGGATGAGATGCTGGCTCCGCATGCTGCCCTCAGCCTCCCTGCCCCTCCCCAGGCCGGCACCAGCTGCAGGTGCCACTTCCTTGCTCACCTTCCCGCCCCCAGTAGATTCTCAGGTAGGAACCCAGACAGGGGCTGGGTTGCTCCTCCAGCCAGTCAGGAGTAAGCCATGGCGAGGGGGCACTCACGTGGCTCTGAGGCCCTCGCACAACCCTGGGCCCGTGGTGCCCCCGGACTGCCTGGCAGGCCTGCCCTGGGCCCTCACCTTGGTCAGGTGGAGCTTCCCGCCAGAGCCCCTGGTGCAGATGATCAGGTGCTTGGAGAAGAGGAAACACTGCCGCTCCCCTTCTTTCTTCAGTGACAGGGACCCCAGGCGGCCCCTGGTGATCTTGCCCTTTTCGGACATGGGCACCTGGATGAGGGAACCTATGGGTGGAGGAGGGAGACCCTGAGCCCCGCTCCCAGAACGGCCCCCACCTCTGACCCAGCTCGGTGGGAATGTGGGGCAGTGGGACGGGCAGGCCTGGTTCCCAGTGGCCGACAGGCCCTCCCTCCGGCTGGATGGTGGGGTGCAGGGGGGACCAGGGAAGGAAGCTCCATGCAGGACCCCTCAGCTCCCCGGCTGGGCTGGGGCCTAGGCAGGCAGAGGATGCGTGAAGGGCACAGCCCCTGTGCTGCAAATGCAGGGTGGGCAGGTCTGCAGGGGGCAGGAGGCTGAACAGGGGTGCCGGGTGGGCAGGATTAACAAGCTGCCAGCCCCCTCTGCCCTGGCAGCCACAGCAGGCGTCACCAGTCAGTTGCTGCGCACCTTGCTGCCGAGCCCAGATAAAGGCCCCGAACCTCAGCAGAGTCGGGAGCCACTACCGGGCAGGCTGGGGCTGGATGACCCCAGTTCCTGTCCCTACACTGGTCCCCGACCCCCAACAGCTGCTCTGCACACCTCCCTTCCCCACATCCTTTGCAGCCCACCGTCCTCGGGGCTGGGGCATTCTGGGTCCCGACTGGCCTGGCACGTGTCCTCCCTTGCCGTGGCCCCCTTCTCTGCCCGAAACCTAGTTCTTAGGGTCAGAGACCTTGGCTCCCTGAATGCCACTCAGCCTGGAAAGCCCCTCCTTCCCCTATCTACCCGTGAACTCCTATTCTTCAAGATGATTCTAGAGCTGCCTCCTCAGGAAGCCCTCCCTGGTCTCAGGTCCAGCCCAGCCCCTCAGGAGGGGAGGGGCCGCCATGGCATGGGGCTGAGGAGCAGACTCCTGGCCTGCAGGGACGCCAGGCACCCCAGGGGAGGGCATCCTTGGGCCCTTCCTGCTTGGGCCCAGTGCGGCTCAGATGGGGCAGGGGGCAGGCCAGGCTGGCACTGGGCCTGGCAGGGAGCAGGGAGGGCCTGGGGCAGGGGCGCAGGGACCACACACAGGGCTCAGAACAAGACCGCAGGGTTTTCAGAGGCAACTGCACAGGACCAGTGGGTGACCCAGGACTAGAGAGAACTCGGGGTGCCCTCTGAGGAGGGTGGAAGCTGACCCCCCCATAGCATGGGCTCTGAGGTGGCCTCCTGAGCCGGGCAGCCTTAACATTTCCAAGGGAGTCACCCCCAGACAGAACCCCTCCCCGCCCCCACCACTGTGTCTCAGATGTGGCACCCACGGAAAGCTAGGGCTGAAGGGTGGGAAACCCGCCTGTAAGAACCCCGCGATCGGTGATGGCGGCACCGTGGTGGATGATGAGCAAAGGCAGGAGGGACCGGGCCACACCCATGGCCTCTCGGCCAGGCCAGGAACACGCTGTGACTCCCACTGCCAACTGGTATCTATCATCCTCCTCCACCCCTTACCCTCTCTCCCCAGAAAGGACCCGTGGGCATTCGCTGTGACACCATTAGCCTAGGCAAGAGCTGTCTACACCTGGGGGAGGAAACTGAAGCCAGTGTTCTACGCGTCTGTGTTCAGGCACCTGCTGCACTCGCTGTCACACCCCCGGCAGCTCGGGAACACGCCGCAGTCACGCCGGCAGGTTTCGACGCACGGCTGCCAGGCCAGCCGGCAGGGCCCACCTGCGGGGCAGGCGCAGAGGCCGTACCTTGTCTCACGAAAGTCTGGCTGGTGTCGAGGAGGATCTCACAGCCTTCGATAATCATGCGCTCGATGGCCAGGTTTTTCCGGATGTTCTCTGTCTCGCTGACCTCGTCGTGCATTATCCTGGGGACAGGGAGGTCAGAGGGGGGCTGCCCCGCTGCTCAGGGAGGCCCGGCGGGGTCTCTGGCCAGACCTGGGAAGGAAGCCTGGCACCCGATCCTCAGGTGGAGCCTCACTCAGGCGGGGAGCAAGCGGTTACTGAGCCCTGCGGTGTGCTGGGCACTTCACAGGCATGATTCTGCTGTATTCTGACAGCCCCAGGAAGCAGTGTTCTTATTTCAGAGAAGGAAAAGGGGCTTCAGAGGAGGAAGCAGATGGGTCTGATTTGAAGTCCGAAGCACGTGGAATGGAGGTGGGGAGCGAGTGATGGGGCTGCAGGGAGCATCCTTCGCTCGTTTCTCTGCTCCCGTCCTCCCACTACGGGCCTTATTTCCACCCCAGAAAAGCCAAGGATGCCTGCCGCAGGTTTGCGCTCACTGCCCCCCACCCCGTGGCCGTTTCCTGTGTTTGGGGTCAGGAATGTGTTCTGGGGCACCTGGCAATCCAGCTGCTCAGGGGGAGGCTGGCTCCAGGTACGCCCACGGGCTCCGCTGCCCGGGAGGGAGCTGGACACAGCCTGCCCCCCAGTCTGAGGCTGGACACCCGCCCCGTCCAGGCTGGGCTGCCGAACACCCCTCCTCTCCAGGCGGTGGCGCTGTTTACCTGCTTTAAACATGGGCCTTGAGGGGTGGGTTGCCTGCTTTGCTCCTGGTGTTCCCAGGGGCCTTGGGAAGCGGTGATTTCGGGGGGCTCTGCAAACAGACCCCACCCACTCCAGCGAAGCACAAAGCCAGCACCTGCGGCTGACGCCCGAGCCCGGGAGGGCTGGCTAATACGTGTGCTCACCAAACTCTCCCACAGATGGGACCCCGTGCAATCCCAGGCCCAGCAGGTGTGCGCGCGGCCAGCACGACGCCGACCGATGCGCCCAGCCCTCGCCTCCATTCCCCGCCTGTGGGGCGTCGGGGTGAGGAGGGAAGGTGAGAATTCCACATGCCGGCCTCACGCCGGGCACGTGACAGGCACCTGACTGCAGGGCGGTGCTCACACTGCTGTTACCACTGGTGTACGCGTGTTATTGCGAAGGAAAGTCGTACTACCCGTCATTCCCTTGATAATCAGACGGGCACCCAGGGGCTGTCTTCCCAAGGAGCCTGGGCGCTCCCTGCCCCCACCCAGCATGCTCCTCTCAGGAGCCAGGCCCTGGCCGTCCTCCAGGAGGGGCACCGCATGGGACACCCTTCAGGGCGTGTGCCAGCTCCCTGCCGAGGGATGCGGTTTTGGGAGCAGCCAAAGGTGACCACAGCCATTTCTCTTGACGGGGGTGGGAGTTCTGCTGTATGAAAACGAGGTGGTGCCAACGTGGTTGTGCCAGTAGATGCGTGGGAACTGCGGGTTCAGTGGGGCCACCCGAGGCTGGGGTCTGTGCGGGGCCGCGGGGCACCCGGAGCGGCTCGGCTCTGGGTGGGCGGCAGGAGCTCCCGGCCTGTGAGCACGCACCATCCGGGCTCCGCCACCCCTGGGCAGTGGGGGTGGGCCCCTCGCCCCGGCCTGCCCGCCATGCGTGGCTCACCTGGACAGCTCCTCCAGCTTGGACTTGGCGTAGTCCAGGCTGTGACGCTCCACGTGCTCGTGGGGAGTGTGGGCCAGCAGCTCGTGCAGCGTCAGGATGTACCTGGGGATCTGTGGCCGGACAGGCAGGGGGAGGGGGCAGAGGCAGGGATGGGGATAGGGTAGGGCAGGGAGAGAGACCAGTGGTGAGCAGGACAGCGGAGGGGGGCAGGCTGAGGGCGGGAAAGGAGGCAGAGGGCGGTCCTGTCAGCGCCCGGGGCCCCCGGGGCAGGGCCCAGCGGGGACACTGCCTTTCTGGCCTAGGGACTCTTCCAGGGTCTGGCCTGGGACCTGAGCCTGGAGCTAGAGGCCCACCCAACGAGAGGAGGGCATGGGGCTGCTCCGGCTGGGGGGACAGGAGCCCCCGCATTCCCACACTGCCTGCTTGCGGCTGGGGGCTGGTCCTGACCTGGGGCTCCCCCGGCCCGGTGGGCATCCTGGGGGTGGGGGGCGCGCACAGCACCTGGAACATGGGGTAGGTGAGGAAGGTCTCCAGCGTCCTCTCCTCGCAGTCCGGCTTGGCCTCATAGTGCTTGAGCAGCTTGTCGAAGTCACGGTTCTGTTTGCAGTGGGCCAGGATCTGCAGGCTGTACTGATGGTTGCGCACGAACTCCTGGTAGATGTTGAGCATGGGCAGCAGGATGTCGAACAGGTCAGCTGGGAGGAGGGTGGCGGGCTCAGCGGGCAGTGGGCGCCCCACAGGACCTCGGCTCAGCCAGCCCCAGCTCCACCCACAGACCCCGCCTTTGGGAATTTCTGGCACCACGGCCCCATCCAGGCTCTGGGCCGTCAGAACCAGTTTCAGTGACAGGCACTGTGTAGTCTGACACCGTGTGTTGGAGGCTGAGAGAGGATCTGGTGGGTGGGTGCCATGGCCCCGGACCTCTGCAGGACCAGGCCCTGCTCCCCAGCTGCTGGGACTGTGGCCGATGCAGCCACTCTCAGTGGAAGGAAGCGGCCTGGCACCAGGGCCACCCCACCCAGTGCGGGTCTAAGTGGGGAGCGAGGGCTGGCCTCCACCTCAGCGTGGACGCCTCCGAAGGGCCGCCCTAGCTCTGGACGGACGTCCGTGGGGTCGGCTGATGCCTGTGTCACACTTGCGCTGTGCCTCCCCCTCCAGCTCCCCCATGGTGACATGCTGACTCTCCACGAGGCCCTTCTCCCAGTGACCCACCTGTGCGGTAAGTGACCTGAGGTCACAAGGTGAGTCAGCGGCTGGCTGGACCCAGGGCTCCTGAGTCCCCGGTGCAGGGCATCCTGCCACACACCAGGCCCTCCTGGGCCCCTGTCCCTCTGCTGTCCATCTGCGCCCTCCCAGAACCCCCAATGCTGCACCCCCTGGCTCAGATGGGCCCCTCACTGGCTCCACGTCCTGTGTATACAGTATCCTGCCCCCAAAGCCCAACCAATCTCCCCAAGTCTGTTCTTTAACACGTGACGGAGGGGCTGGACCCCCTGGAATCTCTGCTCACAAACGCCATTAAGGCAAATGGGAGCCCTTACGTAGGACACGAACTACCCAGCAGCTGCTGCTCACCACACAGCTATGGGGCCTTCCTAGGGCTGCCTTTCATTTTGACCTGGGAGAAAAGCAGGGGTCTTTGATTTGAGGGAAAAACATGGCCCCTGATAGTCTCCATGGCCAGAGGGCAGGGGGGCTGGAGCGCCGGTCTGGCTTTAGGGTCCCTTCACCTCCCTGAGGGGGTGCCACCAACACTCACCTTTACAGACTGAATTAAGGAAGGGGCGAGGAAGGGGTGGCACCCAGTGTGGGAGGGTGCAGTGCCCAAGGGACCCCGCTTTCTGCTTGGGGTGCTACTGTGGTGCAGCGGCTCCGGGACAGACAGTGTGCCCGGAGCTCTTAACATGTCTGTATCCTTGTTTTGGTCACGCTACTTTTGGAGCCCTCTCCCAAGGGAACACTGCTAATAGGAGAGCACTTCGTGCACAGATACGATTATTTATAATAACAAAAAGCTGGAACAACTTTAAGAGCAAAGGATGGGAGGTGGCTGCAGGACACGGTGCTCCCCGGGCATGGGGCACCGCGGGGCACCAGGAAGTGGGGTTTCAGCACAAGAAAACACTTGTGCTCCAATGCTAAGTAAGGAAAACAAGCCACAGCAAAATTCAGGTTCTATATTCAGCACATTTGCAATTATGCAAAACTGGAAAAAAAATCCCCAAGATCTGTGTGCAGAAAAAAAACTGGAAGAAAACACACTGAAGTGTTTACAGTGGTTATCTTTGGGAAGCAGAGCTCAGCTTGGTATTTTTAAGCCTTTTCTACTTTTCTGGATTCTCAAAATTTCTTAAATGGGTACGTATGTATTATTTTTAAAAGGGAAAAGCAGATAAACTAAAAATATGTCACTTCCTCCTAGAAATACAGCTTTTGCCAACTTGTCTTTCCTCTGAGGGGATCCCTGCTCCCTCTGAGGGGTCCTGTGGGTTCTTCAGGGGCCTGTCCGTCTTACTCTGGAAGGTGCGGGCCCTTCTCAGGCAGGGCCAGAGACTTCTTCAGGGGCTGGCTACTCACCCAGGACCAGTGTGGGCCAGCTGGAGATGCGGGCCTTCAGGCCCTGGTAAAAGATCTGGTGCAAAAACATGATGGTCTCACTGAAAGGGAAAACACAGGGTGAGCTCCAGCCAAGGGCACTGCTGGCCCCCAGGTGTCCCCGCCCAAGGTCCAGAGGAGCAAGGCCTCCGGGCAGAGGGCGGGGCGCTGCTGCCTGGGGACTCAGGCCCCAAACCCCTTTCTCAAGGGGCTATGTGCAAACCCCAACAGTGGGGTGGACTGTATAATCTGTGGGGCCCCGTACAGAATGAATCTGCATCCAGAGCCTCATTACAGCCCAGTAATTCCACTTCTGAGTATTGCCTGAAGAAAACGAAAACATGAATTTGCAAATAGACACACACCCCTGTGTTCACTGCATTATTTACAATAGCCAAGATATGGAAGCAGTTTAAGTGTCCACCGATGGATAAGTGGAGAGAAGATGTGGTATGTACACTTGATGGGACATTACTCAGCCACAAAAAGGAATGAGACCCTGCCCTCTGTGACAGCAGGGACAGACCTAGAGGGCATCAGGCTAAGTGAAATAAGGCAGAGGGAGAAAGGCAAATGTCGTGTCCTCTCTCTTACATGTGGAATCTGAAAAACAAAACAAATGGACAATAAACAGAATAAACAGGTGGCTGCCCCCAGGCAGGGGGTGGGGGCGGTGAGTGACCCAGGTGAAGGGGATTAGGGGGGACAAACTCCCAGCTGTGCAATGAAGAGGCTGTGGGGGGAGGCGCAGCAGAGTGAGGCGTTACTGTCTTTGCAGGGCGGTCGGCAGTGGCTGTGTTTACTGTGGTGAGTGGCTCGTACTGTATGTCTAATCTATGCTGTGCATATGCAAACCATAATACACTGTATGTTAGCTATACTTCAACAAAAATATAGTGATTCACAGAAGAAAAATTTCAAGACTGACAGCAGAATGAGATGCACCCCGGCTCTTCATGGCCTGGGCCCTACACGCAGGCCGCCAGCAGCTGGCTCCAGAGCAGCCTGAGCCGCCCGGGGTCCCCAGTGCTGAGCTGGTACCTCCCTGAAGTCGCAGGAGAACGGTCCCTCTGGGGTCGTGACACACTGGCTTCTGGACTAGAAGTCCCACCTAACGGCCAAGGTCAGCGTCATTTTGCGGCAAGTCCCCTGCACAGCGACCTGTCTACCTGGGCCCCCTCTGATGAATGGATGAAACATGGACCAATTCTGAGAACCTTGGGAGTGCACGTGAAAAGTGAATCAACAGACCGAAGGGTGCATGAGCGTGCTTAGGGGACGTCCAACCGAGGCGGGAAGAACAGGGCTCACGGGACCCTCAGGGGCTCTTCGGGGAGCCAGGAGGCGCTGGAGGACCCTGGCCTGGCCATGGCGAGACTGCAGCCACTCCACAGGAAACTGCTCAGGAAGCGCCAGGGAGGAGACAGACGTCCTACAACCCAGCATCGCACAGACCTGTAGAGTAGCCTAGTAGGAACACCATAAGCGAGGACTGCAAAACTATACTTCAAAGGTATAAACTGTGAGAATTTCACCTGTGATCTCGCTACTCTGAAATTACCCTTGTTATCCATCTAATTAAAAAAATCTCATTTTGATTTGATTTGCTTAAGAAAAATCATTGTTATTGAGTTGGTTGAACATTTTTCCTATGTGCTGGCCATTTGAATTTCTTTGGGAATTGCCTAGTCATGTCCATTTACAATTTTCTCTCATAATTTTAAATAATGATATATGCTTAATTATTAGTTATTAATTATTAACAATTAATTATACTACCACTTGATCATTAATTTTATAATTACATATAATTAAAATATCATTTTATACATGGGCTTATATAGTATAATCTAATAAAATAAAGTGATTAAATAACATTATTTTTATATTAAGCATATACTATAAAAGACATTTTTGCTCAGCTATTTGCCCCTTGATTGTGTGTGTGTGTGTGTGTGTGTGAGTTTTAAGTGTTTCTATTTTGTCTTATGAGGTGTATGATTTTTTTTCTGCTTTCTGCCTCAGGCATCATGCATTTCCCTGCAATCACGGATTGCAAACACACCTACATTTTATATTGTTTCATTTTTACACATACTTAACTAGAGTTTATTTTGGTGTGAGATGTGAATAAGGGTCACAAACCTAACCTTCCTCCACTTTGATCAGCCATTCCCCAAGTCCACTAGTTTGCAAGGCTGTCTTTTTATTGTCATTAAACGAATAGACCTTCTTACGTCTGCTTCTGGACTTTATATTTCACTTTGATGATGGACTGGTCTATTCAGGCATTATTCTTAGGGCTGTTTTCATTACTTCTAATATATTTATAAACCTTTGTAATATATTTTAATTAAAAAGGGAATGTTGCTTTCATTGCTCTTTTTTCAGAACATTATTATCTATTTGTATGTATTGATTCCTTCAGTTGAATTTTAAAATCATTTTTCTAGGCTGCATTTTGATTGGAATTGTATTATATTTACAGAATATCTTGGGTGAAAATGGCATGCTTATTACAGGAAATCTTCCTATCCAGGATGCAGCCTGCAAGTTTAGAAGGATTATTACAATTTTAAATGGTTTAAACAAGTCAAAAGAAGAGCTCATGATAGATGAACACATATGAAATTCACATTTTAGTGTCCATAAGTAAAGACTTGCTGGAACTCAACTACACCCATTCGTTTACGGACCGCCTACGGCTGCTGAGTTCCAACAGAGACTGTATGGCCCACAGGCTCTAAAATATTGACTAGCTGGCCCTTTACACAGAAAGGCTGCCGAGCCTCAATCCGCCGGATGGCATACCTGAGTTGTGTGGTGTGTGGCCAGGCAGGTGCATTGCATCTCTGTCCACCCCCACAGTGAGCTTATAGTCCAGTGATGGTCCCAGACACAGAGAAGCATCATTTAAGTGTCACAAATGTCATAAAGCGGGGCAGCACCAGGGCCCTGGGAGCACACGGCAGGCAGCACAAGCCATGGTGGCAAAGGCTGTGGGGGCCGTCAGGGACAGGCGCGAGGAGAGAGGTGGGGGAGAGTCAGAGGGGATTGTCAGGGGGGATGGGGTGGGAGAATGTGCCAGGGAGGGGAGGCCATACAGCCCGCAGGACACAGATGGGGGGTCGGGGGGGAGGCAACCGGCCTGCAGGACACAGATGGGGGGCAGGGGGGGGGTGGGCAACCGGCCTGCAGGACACAGATGGGGGGTCGGGGGGGAGGCAACCGGCCTGCAGGACACAGATGGGGGGGTCAGGGGGGAGGACAAACTGCCCACAGGACACAGATGGGGGGGATGTTTATTTTGCCCAGTTCCCTCCCCAAAACAGATGTGGCTTGCCCAGGGCCAGTCCACAGCGATGTGGCAGAACCTGGCCTCTGCACTCCCATCCCGCCTCTGCTGCATGCTGCCAGTTACTTGTCATGGGTCCAAGGGTCTGACCCTTCTCGCTCCCTGCTCCTGCAGACATGCCAACGTGATTGTGGCACGCTGCCCCTGCCCACCCCACGGGATCTCATCATCCTGCTCAGCCCAGGACTCTGGGCCTCAGAGCAGCATCAAGATACAGACCATCTGCCACGTGGGCAGGATGCCTCTCACTCGGGCAACGCCTGTGGCTCCAGCACAGGATGCTGGGCATGGTGACCATTACAGGGAAACAGCCCAAGTCTGTACGCCTATTGTCTCTGCTGCACAAAGCCCGCTGCAGACGTTGAGTTGGAATATCTTTTCTCCCCCACCCGAGAGGCACCGCTCGACCCCTCCGGAGCTCTGTAGCAGCTTCAGTGAATCTGCGACCTGGGGAGAGGACGTGCGCTTCACAGGAACCCCTTCTTTTGAGCTCCAGCCAATGAAGTTACCGAATTAGCACCAGGTTCCTCCTGGGGCTCAGCCTGCAAGCCTCACGGCAAACCCACGGGAAACAGCTGTGTGCAGAAGTGCCTTCTGGTAGGGGCCTGGCAGTCTCTGTCCTTGGCTTTTGAGGCAGACCTTTGAGCTGTGGCTCAGGGCAGAAGCCTGGGGGTTCAAGTCCAGCAGCACCACTCAGTAGGGGAGAAGGCTGGGCTCACAGCCAGGGGGAAGATCCCCACTGTGCAGCGGGGAGAGGGAGTGCACACTGAGACCCTCCCTGTAACTAGCCACAGCGGGGAGCAGGGAGAAGGGTAAGGAGGACGGGGCTGGTGGAGGGGATTCCAGCCATCGCCTAGCAGGGCAGGAGGGGAGAGCAGGGGCCTCGACATGGAGCAGAGCTGGGTTAAAGTTGCAGCCCATCCAAGCCTGCTGCCTTCCTCTGAGCACATCCCCCAGCCTCTCTGGGGTCCAGCTTCCTGGGAAGCTTGGAGCACTGGACACCACACAGGCCAGCTGCTCACAGAAAGCCAGGCACAAAGCAAGCCCCACAAAACCACCACCGTGATGTGAGCGTCAGACACTCAGTCGTGTAAAGTATGGGTGGGGTTGTTGGGGGAATGAAAAAATCCCAGCTGTTCCCTACAGAGCACAGAGGTTAAAGTGAAGCTTCTGCTGCTCTCAGCTGCCCGCACAGTGGGGTGAGGACGACCACAGGCAGTCTTCTAGCACCTTCTGCCCCGTCCCGGGCCCAGGCAAAGAGATGAAGCCGGCCGCGTCAGGTCAGCATCCATTAGATAAGAGCCACTGACTTTTCCTCTTTATAAGGGAAGAAAATGGAGTGAAATACATTGGTTTCTGGTGCTGAGGCAGCCTTGCATTCCTGGGATACATTCCACTTGGTTGTGACATATTATCCTTTTTACATGTTGCTGGATTTGATGGCATTTCTTATCCTTGGTAAGATATGACAGTATTGGTCCCTCTCGCATTATGCTGTGCATCTGGCGTTAGAGAAACGCTGGCCTCCTGGGATGAGCTGGGAGGTGCTCCCTCCACATTAGACGCGAATTCGGTTCCCCGCTGTGGGGCTTGACCCTCATGATAACGTCTAACTCTGGCCCAGCACGTGGCACGGGCGCTGGGCAAGAGGCTCTCACGAACTCCCTGGTTGACTCTCTAACACCTGTGAGAAGCAGGTCCCACTTGTGGGTCAGAGGGGAGGCCTTCAGGATTGACCAGGCTGCCAGGGCCAACAGCTGCAGGGACAGGCGGTGGCACCTGTGCCCCTCGGGGGAGGGCACCCAGGCTCTGCGGTGGCACGGCGGGGCACTGTGCAGGAGAAGGCCTTTCATTCTCAGTTAAAGATGCCTGATCCGATCTGCGTGGTCGTTAAAATACAAGAACATAAACCCATGTGATTTTTTTCAAGCAACTTCTGAATAAATGCTGTGAGTGGGCATGAGTCTTTCAACCAAAGGTTCCAGGCACAAGGAACCCAGAAAAGATCAAAGAAGCCGAGCAGAACCACGGAAAGCTTAAACCCAAAGGACACGTGATCTCTTAGTGGTCATGGTAAGTGGCCACTAGAGTCTGCGACTGTGGCCCCGGATGCAAGAAAACCTCCGACACAGAACCACAGCCATGCTTCCTGGCCAGGGTCTCCACAGGGACGCGGCCAAGGCCCTGGGGCAGGCAGCAGCCCACAGCTGAGGGGTGGGCCCCGCACCCGTGCTCAGGCCGGACAGAGCCCAGCTGAGCCGCCCGCGGTTTTTCAAGAGGGAACAGCTCCTTCCCGCTCTTCAGCCAAACCCCAGGCCTCTGAGTCTGGAAGACCAGGCGCAGTTCCCGAGGTGATGGTACCTGGCTTCACAAAAAGATAATACCCATTTTCTTTGTTTTAGTAAGCGAACAAAAGCATTTATTGAATATTTAGAAACTGTGTTTAACACATATGCTAAAAAGCAATCTTGTAAGGCCCAGTGAGTCAGTTTCTAGACGTCCTCCTGAGGCCAAAAGCTGGTCCCACCGTTCCCGTGCCCCAACTCTGATGTGTCGTCCACGCCACTGCCAGCCCTGTCCCCGCCCGGTGGCCTCCGCCGTCCTAGCGCCGTCCCTGGCCTGGGCCACAGGTCCACGTCTGCCCCCCGCCGCCCTCTTACTTCCTCCCGGGTGTCGGTGCCTCAGGCCCCTTTACTCGCCACGCCAGGGTGCAGGGAGACGGCGCTGGGCCTGAAGGCCTGTGCAGGTGCTCTGGAGGGCAGGGGGACCAGAGAGGGGACAGGACGACGGGTATGCTGACAGGAATGCAGACGAGGGCGCATCAGGGGCCCCGACCGCCTGCCCGGCTCCCCGGGGACAGCTGTGTGCACACGGCCCCTGCTTGTCTGTGCGCCTGGCACTCACCTAGTTTACCTGGTTTTACTGCCCACCGAGACGCCCATTTATTTCAACCACTTCCTAAGAAAATACTCTTAGAAAGAGGTCGACAGCAGAAGAGCAGGCTCAGCTCGGCCTTCTGAGGGACCCCCGGCCCCACATGAGCGCCGGAGTCACCACGTGGGAAAAGCTACTGCTTTGTAGGGTCCCTGAGGGCGCGCCCAGCAGGCCTCTCGGGGCCTGACCTGGTCGTGAGCCTGGCCTCAGGTCCGCCATGACGGCATCAGGGTGGAGGAGGGGGCGCGTGAGCTTTCTGCGGCTCCATTTATAACTCAAACAACTAAACCAGGGTCTCTCGACTTGGCCACGACTGCCCTCTGGGCAACGCGAGTCTTTGCTGGGGGGCGTCCTGTGCACGTAGGGCGTCCAGCGGCGTCCCCAGCCTCTGCCCCCTAATGCCAGTAGCAGCCCCCAACCCCTGCCGCGTCGTGACAAGCAAGAACGTCCCGGAACATTGCCAAATGTCCCCTGGGGGCCAGACTGCGCCCTGAGAACCGCTGCTTCAGACGAAACCCGCAGAGGCCTCCGTTTACACTGGCGCACCCCGGCCACAGCTGGGCACCCCCGTTCCGCCGCACCCGCACCCTCACCTGCACGCGGCGGGTGGGAGGAGGGCCCGCAGGTCGAGTGCCCTCGGCGCCGGCGTCGTCCCCCCCCACCGGGGGCCCCGCTCACCTGTTCAGGAAGATGCTGCTCACCCCCCCCCACCCGGGGCCCCGCTCACCTGTTCAGGAAGATGCTGCTCACGTCGTCGTGCGTGATGGGCGGCTTCTTGGAGCTGGCGGCCATGCGCAGCGGGCGCAGGAAGTTGTTGACGAGGATGTGGAGCTGCTGCACGTACTCGGCCTCCGCCTCCAGCATGCTGAACACCACCTGGTTGCGCTTCCGCATGCTGTCGGCGTGCGGCGAGCGCACGTAGTCCTGGATGATGCTCTTCCACTTGCGCCGGCACAGCCAGCCCCGCAGGAAGCTCTGCACCTGCGCGAACCGCGGGGCTCCTGGGGGCGCCGGGCCAAGCGCACCTCCCGAGCTTTGCGGGAGATGCAGATACCCGGGCCCGCCCAGACCTCTGCCTTTCCACAGGGCCCCCATTCGCCCTTGGGGAACCAGAAGCGTGGCCCTCGGCCCTGGCGGGACGAGCCCCGTGGACACTCGGCTACCAGGCTGTGCTCATGCGGCCGAGAGCCCAGGGCTAAAGCCCGTGGGTGCAGACGGCAGCTGTCCTGCTGACCGGGGCGTGGCAAGCCGGTCATGTCCTGCCTGGACCTCACACTGGGGGCACCAGCACCTGACGGCAGCCTCTCCTGCCTCGGGGGAAGTGAGTCCTGACCAAGGTCCAGCCCCTTGCTGTGGCTTCGCTGTGGCAAGAACCTGGGAAAAGGCCTGATCCACATACACACGCAGAGAATCGTTCCCAGATGCACCTGCGCCAATCCAGGTGCCGTCTTCTCCCTGCCAGTCCTGCAGCTGGGCTGTATGCGAATGCAGGGTCTGCACAGGGAGGGCCTAGGCACTCCCTGCAAGGTGCTGCGGAGCTGGGGTGGGGACAGGGGGCCTAGGGCCGTCTGCAGAGGGACCCGCCAGAGGGTCTTGCTCCTCAGACCCGTGGGCTGCGTAGGGCACTGGCCAGACAGCTAGTGTAGCTGACCTGCTGCCGAGGATGTGTGTGCTGGAGAGCAGAGGCCAGGCCACAGCCCCGGCGGCAAACCTGAAGTCAGGGGGCTTTCTCCACAAGTGAGGGGCTGACTCTGAGGGCCCAGGGGGCTGCTGGGGGGACAGTGGGTTTCAGCTGGTACTTAACAGGATGTTCCAACTAGAATGGCTTCTCAAAACGGGCCAGGAAGCCCCGGGGGCCCAGCAGAGAAGGCAGGTCAGGGCATCGCTGCCTGGGTGGGCCCCAGTTTGAAACTGGGTGGCACGTCCCAACGCCCGAGAGGGTTGGCAGGCCTGGCAGATGTGTGCAGCTGGCTGGGCGGGGCTGAGTGGGGCAGTGCCCTGTCCGGGGAAGTTGTTGCCGTGTGTGGGCGGCTGGCCTAGGGCCTGCTTTTCTGGGAGGTGGTGTGTCCCAGTGACCCAGGATGTGGGCCCTGGAGCTCAATGGCCAGGCTTTGAATGCTGCAAATACTTAGCTGTGTGACCCGGGCAGGCCTCAGCTTCTCCTGGCCTCAGCTTCCGTATGTGAAATGCAGATAATAATAATAATACCTCAGAGCGTTTTTAGTTAGGAACCAGTTAATGTGCACAAAGTTCCCAGAATAGTGTCTGGCCCATAGAAAGTGCTTAATGAATGTTAGATATTTCTATTTTTGAAAAACCAGAAATTCAGATTTTCATGTGAAATGCTTAGCTTTTAAAACACTGCCAACAAGTTAAGAAGAAAAACCCCAACCTTGGGACCTTGGGGATGGGGGCTAAAAGCCCCCAGGGAGGCCGGATTTGGCACAGGGGACGGCAGTTTGCAGTTTCTCATCCAGATGGCACTGGGGACCCTTTGCCCTCCCATTTTCCTTTGGGTGAGTCAGGATGCCCGGCCTCAAGGCTGGCAAGCTGCAAACACAAACCATGCTCCTTCCTGCACAGCCCTGACTCCTGAGATGTCCGCTCTTTCTGGACTCAGTATGGCAGAAGTAGCGAGGCTGGCTATGGAGTCTTATATAGGTGGGCACCATGCTGAGGTCTGTGGGGGACCAACGGGGTGGCTGTGAGAGGAGGGGTGTCCTGATAGCTGGAGGGTGGGGGGTGACAGAGGGACTGGAGGGGTGGCCTGGGCACTTCCTGAAGCCCAGCGACGGGAGGAAGGCCCTCAGTGGAGGGTCTCGAGGGCTGGGTTCCCATCCTGTCGGACCTTTCCTCCTGTTTTCTTATCCATAACATGGGCTGACCCACCCTACCTCTCAGGGACAAGCGGAAGACGGGGCTTGACGGGCTGTGCGGCAGGGGCTGTTGGTTCTCTCTGGAGCTGAGGAGGGGCGCATGCCCTTGGGGGACAGTGGGATAGCAGGTGGACAGTGCCGCCTGGGCTGTGCCAGGAGGCTTCCTCAAGAGGGTGGGGCGTCGTCAGCTCAGAGGGATGGTACCGACCTTCTTAATTTTCTTGATGTCACTGTCCTCGTCATTGGGGGCGATGGTCTGGGTGGACTGGGTGTGCTCATTGTCCCTGAGCAGGGACGCGACCTGCAACAGAGTACAGGTCAGTGCGGAGGTATGGCTGGCACGGTCCTGCCCTGGCTGCCTGTGGGTGCAGGAACTGAGTCGCTGCCCTGCACTGCACCACTCGATCTGTGGGGGGTCCTTGAGCCCTGGGAGCCCATCTCCCTGGGGGCTGGGCAGTGGGGCTTCGACTCTGGGTGACCTGGGGGAGGGGGTGTCCTTCTGCTCTCTGGGCGAAGGGCACCCTGACTGTAATCCTGAGCTTTGGCCAAAATCTGTGGTTGTCCCTCAGCCCCTTAGGTCTGGGTTTCTGTTGTAAATACAGTGACATGAGTTTTACCATTTAACAGTGCAGGTCGGTGGCCAGAGGCATTCACATGGTGGTGCAGCCATCACCAACATCCACCTCTGGGACTTTCTCATCATCCCAAACCGAAACTCCGTCCCCACTGAACACTAACTCCCATCCCCCCTCTTCCCACCCTGGTGCCCACTGGATGGCTTCCTGGCTATGGGTGGGACCCCTCCAGGGACCTCCCCTAAGAAGAATCACATAGCAGCTGCTTCTCTGCATCTGGCTGATTGCACAGGCAGTGTCCTCCGGGCCGTCGTGGTTGGGACCCCTTTCCCTTTAAGGCTGAGCAGGACCCCATGTGTCTGCAGCCCACTCATCCACCGACAGACACTCGGGAGCCCCGTCATCTTTTCAAACAAAAGCATATGGGCCACCGGCATGTATTCAGCCAAGCAGGTGGTGGGGCCAAGCCCTGCTGGCCGGAATGCCCTGAAGCCTCCCTGGCCCAGATCCCTCTTTGGAGCACAACATGGAAACTGCTGGCCTTCAGATATGGGGCAGCCTTGGGACAGACATTTGAGCCACCCCAAACATCTCCATTTGCCTGATTTGGGGGGTCAGAGAGGTTGGCACACCTGCAAGGACAAGGGGTGGTGCCCAGAAGAAGGGGTGCTGTAAGAAGCCCTGTCGGGGGACCTCCAGGTCGCAGCCTCTCGGGGGACATCCCCACCCCCGCCACTCCCACGCCTTCGCCAGCGCCGGTGTGGCACCGCCTCTCTGCTCCTCCTTGCCAGCCGTAAGCTCTTTGGGGAACAGACTGCAGCTGTCCGGTGCATGGATGGGCACCTGGAGCCCAGAGCAGGGCTGGCTCTCACCGGGCACCTGTTGGCTGTGTGGGTGCGTTGAAAAGAAGGGGAGCAACAGCGGCCACGGGAAACCACCACACTGCCGAGCCCCGTGTGTCTGCAGACGGCCACTCGGGGAGCCTACGGCACGGCCACAAAGCCAGGCTCCCTCTCAGCTTGTGGCTCTGTCCCCTCAAGGCCGCTTGCCGAACACAGGATGAATGGGCTCTCACAGTGGAGCGAACGCAGCGCTTCAAGAGCAAAACGGAACAGTCCCCGCTCTCCACGCCTGGGCTGCTAAAATTACCCCGTCTTTGCTTGAAGAGCAGCTGAAAATATCTCAGTGAGAAATACTCAGTGCCCGCACGGGCTTCTCTCCTCTACCCCCTTCCTGATTCCCTGAGAACATCTGCACATTGAAACAAAGGCCGATTCTTTGATTTGTCCCGTAAAGGGGTGCGGGACACACACTAATGAACGCGCACACACATGCCGGGTGCCCAGCCAACACTCCCGCCTCTAGTCTGCTTTCTTTGCCCGTTTTGGGGTTAGCACATGGTATCCCTGTCTCTTTAGGATGGCAGGGAGTGAGTGTGTGAGTGTGTGAGTGTGTGTGTGTGTGTGTGTGTGTGTGTGTGTGAGTGTGTGAGTGTGTGTGTGTGTGTGTGTAGTCTGTATTTAGAATGGACGACTCTCAGAGAGAGGCATTCCAGGACATCTACTCAGCAGGGACCAGGGCAAAAAATAGCTGTAACTAGGCCAGGTGCTGTGTCACACACATTGGAGTCTGTATTTAAGGCGCAGGCCGGTGGGCAAACCTCTGGAGAGTGTGAGCCCAGGGACCCTGCTGAAGACTTGGGCCATGGCCATCCCTGCCAGGAGCCGAGGTCCAGATAGGTCCCAGCAGGCTTGCCCAGGCGGCCTCTCCCTAGTCCTGGCAGGTCCCTACTGGCGATGGCTTTGCTTGGAACCCTGATTTGCTCTGTTGCTGTCTGGGCCTGCCCTTGACCCTCATCAGTGATGGCTGTGGGGAGATGGGGCTTTGGCCTGTACCCCGAGTTGCCGCCTGGAGTCTGGCCCTGACTGCCCAGCCTGGCTCAGTGCCTGGTGTCCCTGCCTGCTGGCACACTGCAGTCTGGTGTTCTGGTCCACCAGAGGCAAACCCTCGTCTCCCCCCCCTCCTCTGGAGACAGATTCTTTGGTCCCCAATGCGTATAGTCACTGCAGCAAGTGATGGTGGGATCAATCCAGGTTTTTTTCTTTCCCTTTGCAACCAAGGTGTGCTGAAGATCTGTTTCTTGCTTTGCCAGCAGCGGCCACATAGCTCAGTTCTCTCTCCTTCCTTCCTGATTCCTTAGGGCCTTTTCCAGGCCCAGCAGGTGCCCACCTCTATCCCCCATGTCCAACCCTGTCAGCATGTCCTGACGGGTCTCTGTGTTGGGCACCATGGGCACTGGTGGACACAGCTGGAGTGGGTACGTCAGGTCCTTCCCTGAGAGCTGCCACCGCAAGCAGGGAGTCAGACACCCACAGGAGTAACTGAGACTCCAACACAGTGAGGCCAGAATGCAAGTGTGCCCTCATACAGTGGCCCGTCTCACTATGGAACCAGCAAGGGCTACCCAGGAGGGGTTTTGAAGGACCAACAGGAGCCCAACGGGTGGGCTGAGGGATGTTGGGAATTCAAGCAGCAGGGATGGTGTGAACAAAGGCACAGGGCACAGCAGGGCATTTGTCAGGGCAGGGGTGGGGAGTGGGGCGATGGAAGCAGGACCGGAGGCCGGGGAGGTGGGTCCTGGTGAGGGAGGGAGGGGTCAAGGCCGCCCTCTCTTACGTCCCCCAGAGCAGTGTCCTCGCTGACCTCTTTTATACCGTGAGCTTCCACATCAAAGTTTGTAGATCAGCTTCCACAGCTACATTTTTATTTTAAACCCTGAACTAAAGATTTCTGCAGTTCCCTCCAAAGTCAGCCTTCCAGGGTTCTGAGAGCATCGAAGCCGATAAAAACACCACAACTCCTCTAAACACCTGTCCTGCCCTTCAGGGCCTGCCCTGGCTCTTAGATTTACTTCCTATTATACATGGGAGAAAAACCACCATTAAAATAGTGCAACAGTGGAGACCATGCCTCTGGCTGGGGGTGTCCCCTTGGGGAAGGTGCTCCCGCTTGCTTGACCATCTGTGGAGCTTTGTGGCCACGAAAGATGAGGGCTGACAGGGTTGTTCAGACGAGAGAAGAGACGAAGATGGGATGGTTTTGCTCAGTCAAGTTTTGTGCAGACTGTGTTTGGGCGTGACCTCCTGTGACCTCCAGGGAGAGATGCTAGGGGTAGGGGCTGCAGGGCAGTGGGGCCAGGCCTGGCTTCCTGACCAGTGACCTGCCCAGAGCCCCACGCTTAGAAGGGCCCAAGGCCTGGGCTAAGGCTCTGCTGTCCCGCCCCGATGGTCTCAAGGGCCCTGCATTGCCATTTTGCGCTGGGCCCTGCAAATATTGTAGCTGGTCCTGAAACAGGTGCAGACAACACTGGCAACTGTCTAATGACCAGCTCTCTGAAAGAGCCTGGCTATAAACTTGCAAATTTCCATGGTGTAACATACACGTGCATGGAAGCACACACACAATGCACACACATGCTCATTCACAACTGATCTGCTTTCTGCTCCCCAGCACCAGAAGAGGCTCCACCGTTTGCACCCACCCCTTCTCTGGCTACAAACCCCTGAAACCCTTTAAGGCCTGGAACCCACACCCTCTTTGGCAGCAAAATGACTCACTTCCTGCTTGAGGTCACAATGCAGCCGTTCCAGAACAGACCCTCCATATCTGGTGCCTACCACAGGCCTGACATCCATCCATTCATGGAGCCTGTGCGGACACCTACTATGTGCCATACATGAGGAAGAATGTGAAAAAGGACAGCCTGACTCTTGAGCAGTTCTCACCAGGTGGGGTGGCCAACACATGCATGGGTTCAGCCCTTATGTGGCATGCTGTGGGGAAGGCCCGGGCACAGGGCACACGCTCTGGAGTCCTGGGGAGGTGTCTTTGCTTGCAGGATCTCACCAGTCATGGAAGGGTGGGTGACAAGGGTTTTCCAAACAGGAGCACCAGCATGTGCAAAGGCCCAGGGGGGCTCAGGCCACAGCTCTGGAGCTCTAGCTGGGCCCCGAGACTGGGGAGCTATGACAGGGTGCACTTAGTGAATGCCACCCAGGTGCAGAGCACTCCAGTCATGAAGCTGACAGCCTGGAAGTGGGGCCAGACCTCTGTCCCTTAGGGAGCTCAGTGGGGATTCATGGATGTGTCGGGCTAGAATGGACTCCAGGGGTCTTCTCTGGAGTGGGGCTGACCCCAGATCGAGCCAGGCGGTTACAGATAGGACAGGCCCCAGCCTGGCTGGTAGCAGGTACACATGGCCAGCAGCACTGTGACTGGGAACTCGTCTGTAAATACCCCTCCCAGTGCTCACAGCCTTGCCAGGTGAGCATTAAAAAGCCCATTTTACAGATGAAGAAACTGAGGCCCAGAGAGGTTTGGGTGGGGGCTTGCTCCAGGCCGCATTGAATGGCAGAGGCAGGCTCTGACCCAGCCCCAACTCCAGCGCTCCCACTCCGCCCACACCACTAACTTGAAGTTTGGAGGTGGGAGCTGGACCGCGGCCTGTTACACGTTTCTGGTCCCGCGGCAGCCCCGTCCCCGCCAGCCTCCTCCACACCCTGGCCACCGGTCACCTCTGCCTTCAGCCTCTCGATCTCGATCTCCCCATCCTCAATCTGCTGCCGCAGCTGCCTGGCCTCTGTCTTCTCGGCCTCAACGACCTGCAGGAGGTGGAGGTGCTTCTGCATCAGCGCTTCGTGCTCCGTGGCCAGGGCCCGATAGCTGTGGACACAGACGCGCAGCTCAGACCTGCCCCGGGGCCTCTGGAGACCCAGCTGGGAGGGGGCTCACCTAGGAGCGGCCCCATCCGAGGCACGGTGCCCGGAGCCTTGCGGGCTGCAGGTGACCGCTCTGGCCTCTGACCTCTGTCCCCTGCCCAGGCCTGCTCTCTCCCTGCCCCCATGCCCGGGCCCTCGCACAGGCAGATGCTCTGAAACATGCCTCCTTTCCCTTCCCTGGACTGTCCCCTGTGCCCTAGGCCGCTCCAGGCCACAGCCGTCCTAGCCCCACCCCAGGCTGTGTGGGGTGTCCCACAGTTCCCAGCTGCTACTTGCACAGCATTGGGCCAGACTGACTGGGAGTGTCCAGTCACTTCTGTCCCCACAGGAGATCCCTGCTTTCCCTGTGGGCAGGGACCAGGCTGGTGTGGCTTGCTCCTGCTCGCCCGGGCATGACGCAGCATTCAAAAGTGCTCAGCGAACATCTGTTGCACGGATGGATGACCATGTGGGTGGATGTGTCCGGCCCCCGGGGATACACAGAGGAGAAGGCCCATGCGCTCACTGTCTGGGGGACAGCTGAAGAGCCTGCACAGTAAACTGGGTGCCAAGACGTGCACCACGGGTTGTTAGCAAGGTAGCACTCAGGCGGGGGGCTCAGCAACAGGGACCTGTGATCAGGGAAGACTTCCTGGAGGAGTCTGCCACCCTCTGGAGGAGTCGGGACCCCAGGCCTTCTGACTGCAAACCCAGTGCCATCCAGGGGCAGCCTCGGGTAGGAGGTCTGTCTGGGTTGGGGTAACTGGCTATGGGTTTGGATGTTAGGTGGGGCCAGATCACACAGAGGATGCCCGCAGAGAATGGGCAGAGGGTGGAGGAGGGGACCCAACATTTGTGTGAATTAACATCTCTTAGATGTGCAGAACACCACCACTGGGGGGAGGGTGGGAAGGTGGGATGTGGGAGACAGCCTGGCTGGGAGGCAGCCTGCCTGCCTGAGACCACGGGCCTCTGATGGCACTGCCCTCTGCATCCCAGGCCTGCATCTTCCTGGCACCCCAAAGCACCAGAGGGCCACTTGGGGTGTCAGAGCTGGGGAGGGACCATCTACCCAGGGGCCCAGTCTCACAGGGCACAGGGGCTCTGAATGGAAGCTGCTGCGGAGGTGCCCATGGTGGGGGTTTGAGAGGCAGGCCCAGATTGGGAGGGAGGGTTTAGAGGCTCGGCGCGTCTGCAGCAAGGTCAGGGGGCCCAGGCCCTCCGTCCTCCTTGCCCTGGCCCCCCATCTTCCCCTCCTTTTTTGCTTTGGCCCAGGACGTCCTCAGAGGCCCAGGACGTCCTCAGAGTCCCAGGACCCCTTCCCTGTCCCCCTGCCCTACCTCTCCTCAGCAGGGAGAGGGCCCTGTGCCCACCCTCCACCCTTGCCTGCCACACACCTGTGCCCCTCTTCAAGCCCACATGCCCACCCCTCCCACCTCATGTGTTGGGCCTCCAGTAGGGCCCTGTGCTCTGGGCCCATCTGCCTGGGCTCAGCCCCAGCCCCACACCCCTTGCTGAGGGACCCAAATAGGTCGCCTCTCTGAGCCTCAGTTTGTTCATCCACAGAATGGGGACGAGGGCAGCTCCTCACAGGGTTGTGAGGACTGAATGGGTGGACACACCATACCCCCACTGGGTGCCTGTTGCTATAAAAACCACCCCATCAGAGGGCAAAGCCCCCCAGGTCTCACCAGAACCCTGCTTAGAATCTCTGCTCCGGATCCCACCCCCTCCTCTAAATTAGCAAGGCCCTGGTCCTCAGCATACAGAAGCCACAGTCGCCCCCCATTTAGGGCAAAACCGAGCCCCCAGCTCCTGCCCTTCTTTCAGCAGTGAGGCCTGCTGAGGGCGGCCTGCCGTCTTTGTCCCCAAGGTGTCGTTCCCTCTCAGCGCTAGAAGCCCAGTGTTCCCCCAGCATCCACAGGGACCGGGTCCCCTCCACAAACCAGCTCCCACCTGCTGAATCAGGGGTCACTTTTTAGTCTAGCATCTTCTGACACCACCTTCCAGGTACACTGCATGGGGCGCATCAGTGGAGTGCCAGGTTAGGGATGCTGACCTTCGTCACAGACCCAACAGCTGTGTCACACAAGCTCTCTATGCCCCACAACCCTCACTGCAAAATGGGACAATACAGCTTCCCTACAAATCCCCAGGTGTGAGGTGGGTCCCCAGAGGGTCTTGGGAGGGGCTCAGCTTTGCTGTATCAAAGGGCCACATCAGGTGGGGGCTGCTGCACTTGGAGACAGGGCTTGGCCCCTGAAGGTGTCTGAGGAGGGGTGACTCCAGCTGTGCCCCGAAGTGGGAGGACGGGTGGGCAGGGCTGGTGGCCTCCAAGCAGGGGGACCTCTGGGCAGAGGAGGCACTGTGCCTGGGGAAAGTCCTGGCCTGGAAATGAAAGTGAAGTCTCGTTCCCAAGCCCCTCTCTTACAAGTAACAGGCTGTAAGAGTTCTCAGGTTTGCAATCCTGCGCACAAAGCAAGCATTCTGTGCTTCCCTTGTTAACCAGATAATCAGGCTTTAAGGTTCTCCATCTCCCCAAGAGGCTCAGTTTCTTTACTTGCAAAGGGAATCCAGCAGAGAGCATGAAGGAATCTGCTTTCACACCAGCACCCCTCTTTTCCCCTACCTGTCTCCCCAGGAAAGACCTACAAGCACCTTCTGGGTGTGTCCACCTTCTTCACAGACCTGCAGGCCAGGCCGCAGAGCTGGAGGGGCACACGAATGGTTAAAGGCCAGGTGTGGGGAAGTCAGGGGTCCTCACTTAACTTAAACCACTTGATGAGGTAACTGGCCTGTTGCTAGGCTACCGCTTCCACACCAGTAGGCAATAAGCTATTATTGTGCTATGTAGAGAGCTCGGCCCAGTGCTCTGGGCAGAGGCAGAGACGCAGTGCTCGACCTACTGCTGTGAGAACAAGCCGGGTAATAAACCCTTTCGCCCCAAGCAGTTCTGCTGTCATTCCTTTGGTCACACTGAATCCATGGCGAACTTGCCAGGGGCTGACACCCACTGGCAAGACATCAGGGTTCCTGTATCCTAGACACAGACTCGGGGAGGGCAACTCGCCCCAAACGACATGTCCACCCTCCAGGGGACTGGGCTCCGGCCACACTCACCCACTGTGAGCACGCTCCACAGTGGACCCCCACGCTGGCACTGTACCCACAGTGTGAGATCACTGGGTCTCTGCCTGCTTTCACCTCCAGGGCCCATTTTTCTGGATGTATTCTGTATGTGTTTTAAAAAGTGAATTATGTATTTGCAAAAATACTTACACTCAAAATAGGCTGGAAGGGACCAGTCTCTCCCCTGCTCACTTGCATGCTCACACTCACATGCACACGCTCTTGCTGGTGTCGTGGAGGTCTGAGGCCAAGTAAATCTCATCTGTGGTCCCCTGCCGGTCACACGGCCAGCCCCCCGGAGAAGGGCTGTGGCTGATGCTGGCCTGGGAGCTGCTCAACGGGCACAACCCGAGCCAGGCCGGCTGGTGACGACCCTTCTAGGGAAGGGGACTTGGTTTCCCTTATCAGTGACCATCATATCTGAGGCCAGGGGGTCGACTCAGGCCCCACAGTTTGGCAAGGAAGACAGACCATCAACACGTTCCCCTGGCCTCCAAAATGATGAGTATGGAGAGGTTTTTCCTGAGGCAGAGGGTGTAGACTTGCCCTACTGCCCCAGCTCTGTGGGGGTGGCAGGCTTCTAGCTGGGCTGAATCTGCCTCCCCAGGGGGTCACAGGCCCCTGAGCTTGCAGTCAGGACCTGGGGTACCCGCACCTACCAAATGGAGTTTTTCGGGATGTCATAAGGACTCACATCAACATATGACTTATTTTGTTGGCTACGTGGAGCCAGTCTTTGATTTAGTAAATTGCTTAGAGTTATTGTCCCTGTGGCAAGCAGGATTGTAGGATCGCCCCAAGATTTCCTCCCCTGCCCTGGTTTGCAAGTCCTGCATAAGCCTGAGATGATAAATATGGTGGGTTTCTATTCCCATCACCGGGACACAGCTGACCTTAAGGTAGAGAGACTGACTATACACAGTGCGCGTGACCCGATCGTGTGAGCCTTTTAAAACAGTGTTTTCTGACTGGTTGTGATAGGGAAGGTTGGGGCTCTGGGGCTCGAGAAGATCTGATGTGCTGCCGAGGATGGAAGAGGCCACATGGCAAGGAAGGCAGGCGGCCTCCAGGAGGGGAGAGCCCCCCCACTGGCTGACAGCCAGCCAGGAAATAGGGACTTCAGCGCTGCAGTGCTGAGGGCTTGGGTCCTGCCGACAACAGGAATGAACCTGGGGGCAGAGACTTCTCCAGACCCTAGAGGGAAGGCCCAGCCCTGCTGACCCCTGGATATCAGCCCATGAGACCCAGAGCAGAGGCTACACAGCACCCAGACTTCTGGCTTGCAGAACTGTGAGACAGTCAGTGGGTGGTGTTTTGTCTGTGGTCATTTGCTATGAGCAGGAAAAAACAAAAATACTCTCTCAAAAAAAAACAAACATATGTTTTCTTCAAAAAATTAGAACTACTACATGATCCAGCAATTCTGGATATTTGTTCTAAGAAAATAAGAACGCCAATCCAAAGAGCTACCTGCACCCTGGTGTTCCCTGAAGTGATATTCAGTGACCCAGGTTCACAGAGGACAGGTCAGGCGGCCAAGCTGGGGATTCAAGACCAGTTATGATGCGGTTTCAGCCCAGTGTCCGAATGCGTCTACCTCCTGACACCCGAACTTTGTCTCTTCATTTCTCCTGGAATTCTCTTTCTGGCATGGGGTCTCTATCGAAGCAATTGCGGGGGATGGACTGAGTCATGTCCAAACCCTCCAATGTGCCCCCAGTCCTCCTGCTCAGGGCAAACGTCACTGTTTCCAGCTGCCCCAGACCCCCATCTCCCCCAGAGGGCAGGCAGGTCTCTGTCCGTGGCGCCCTGCACCTAACACAGCCTTCAGGCCTCAGAGCTGCTGGTGTGTCTGCTGTCCTCCCAACTGGCTGAGCCCCTGGGGAGGTGCCTGTGCCGCGTCCACTGCTCAGAGCCTGACTCTGTTAGCTCATATGTTCTTGTCTCCACAGCTGGACTGGGCACTCCTCGGGGGACAGAAAGGGTGTGACCTGAAGGCCGCGGCCAATGCTATGCCCTAACAGGGGGTTTCTGATCAGGGGGTTTGACCCAAGGCTCAAGGAAGGGTCCTGGTCCCATCCATCAGCACCCACCCACCCACCCCCTGTCCATCATCCACCATCCATCTTCCACACATGAACTCAGCGCCCCCCCTGCATCCATCCTCTGCCCTTCGATCTTCCAACCCACTCTTGCCAAGCACTCTCTACGCCTTTGTCAGGCCTGGGGGTGCAAAGGATCACACCTGGTCCCTGCCCTCAGGAGTTCGTGTTTCATACGGAGAGAGACACAGAAACACACTCCTACCCACTGAACCAGAAAGATCTGCTGCCCAGAGGGGTGAGTGTCGGTATGCCTGCGCCCGACAGCACTCAGCTCTGCCAGGGGGTGGTTAACTCTGGGGCCACACCCCGGCCACAAGCCCCTCATTTCCCCGGGACTCAAGTGACTCAGTCGGGCTGGGAGTCCCCTCTTTCTCTGCAGCATCCTCTCCTGCTTCCCCCCTATTCCAGCCCACTTGAGTCTCCTTCCAGAGGGGGGCACCCACTGCTGGGAACAAGGGGAGGACCAGGTCGAGAATCCCTGAGCTCAGAGAAGTTTGGAGGATTTCAGCCTATGGAGGAGAAAACTGGGGCCCCGAGAACGGTCAGCACCAGCTCATGGCCTTGCCGCAGATCAGTGGCCGCCTCTGGCTGAGAGCCCCTGCGGCCTCAGACTTCGGTTTCACGGCTGCCAAACTGACCCAACCGAGTTGTCTTCGGTTCCCCTAATAGGAAAACGGTGCTGCCCCCACAGCCTCCCTTTCACCCCAGAGGGCACAGATCTCTGGGGCCCCAAGGGCGACCTGGCCAAAGGCCCTTCTGCCAGTGTCCATTCTGCACCCTCTCCTCCTTCCCCCTGCCCCCCACTCCCCCTCAGGGTTTATTCAGTGAGGGCCCCGGGGTTCAGCCTCCGGCATAGGCCACAGGGGTGGGTGGGCATACCTGGCATGAGCGATGGCCGCCACCCACTCATCACGGTCCTTCGCGTCCTCTGTCCTCAGCTCCAGGGCTTTCTGGCTCTCATGGCTGAAGTTGACCGTGAAGTAGTGCTGCACCGAGAAGAAGATGCCTCCAGTTACCGTGGCGTCCGTGGGGCCTGCAGAGGCTGCGGCTTTTGTTCCAGCCGTTTTGCAGAGCCACGTTGGCTGGGCACAGGTGCGGTTTCTGTCCTCCTCGGAATGGCGTTCTGTCTAGCAGTTTCGAGCCTGCGATTAAGGCAGGCTTTGTGCCATGTAACAGAACCTATGTTTAGGATATTGTTAGAAGGAAGCAAACCCACAGCCCTACTTGCCAACAAACTGCAAACAACAGCCAGCTTCAAGCCGTCAGGTATGCTGGAAGGAGGGCAGGGAAGCAGGCCAGAGGGCGTCCCCTTTGGGAACTGCGTACCGATCCAGATCAGCACGCATGTAATTCGCTTCACAAAAACTGACTGAACGCTCTCTGGATCCTGGGTTCAAGCAGTGAACAGACAGACATGGTCCCTAGGACAGCCCGCTGGAAGCTACCTCCGTTGGGTGCGGGTGGCTGACTAGAGCTGGGCTGACCCCGGGGCCGGCCTCTGAGCTCCCAGGGAGGCAGAGGAGCTGAGGGTGGACACACATGAGATGCTGTCGGGTGAGGCACTGCCCGCGGAGCTGTGGGAACGGCTCCTGGAACCATAAGCGCATGTGTTTGCACGGTCAGGGCTGTGCAGTCGTTCGTGTGATGGAGGGAAGAAATGGGTGTGGGGCCCAGACACAGCTACCCACCGAGTCGGCCCAGGGAGGGCAGAAGGCCTTCCAGAGGACAGGGCCACGGTCCGGGCTTTATTTCGGTTGGACAGAGGAGCACGAGGGCAGCAGGAGCATGGGGGTCACAGGTGCAGTTGGGGGGGTGGAAGTGGGGAGTGGGAGGGGCCGTAAGGTGTGAGCAGAGACGCCAGTGGGTGGGGGCAGCACCAGGCGGTGAGCTGAGCCGGTGGTGGGCTGCAGAGCTGGGCACTGCCCCTGGGTTTCTGGCTTGAGCAGCCAGGTTGGGGGCACCACAGACAGGGTGGGGCATGGGCAGGATCAAGCGCAGGTGTAGGGGGCCAGGATGGAGTGGGCGGTCCACTGTTCCACGTCTCTCCAGGCTGCACATGGGGCAGGGGGGTGTCAGCCTCAGGGTGGGGAGGACAGCTGGGGGCCGGTTCCTCAGAGAGAGGTGGGTAAGCACAGCATGAGGCCTCCTGGGCCCTGTCCTGATGGAGGTGCAGAGGGGACCCTCCAGCGTACCCGCTCAGAAGGCGCATCACAGGCCATGGTGTGGCGCCATCACACAGGGTGCCCTCCGTGCCCCTCCGTCCTCCGAGCCCAGGCAGCAGGGAACTGCAGCTGAGGTGTGGCGTGTAAACTATTTTTAGCTTCTGCTGACATTCGCTGTATTTCTGTGAATTGCCAGTCTTGGTGGTAGCCAGGGTGTGTGTGTGTGTGTGTGTGTGTGTGTGTGTGTGCGCAGTCGATGTCTCTCACTTGTTTCCTAGGAAACAGGTAACTGGGGCTATGGAATGAAGTGTGCCAGCTGCAGCCTCAAATAACAGAGCTCAGAAGGCTCCCACAGGCACGCCCCGCCTGCGACGGCAGCAGGTGGAAAACAGAGCTGCAGGTGGCCACCCGGCGCCTTCCCGTCTCTTGAGACCTGATGGGCATGAGTGCCTGTCTCCCACGGCCTCACTCGTCCCCACATTCCCCTAGTGGGGCAGGCGTTACCATCTGTTTTCCAATGGGTGAACCTGAGGTTCAGAGAAGTCAAGCCACCTGCCCAAGGCCACCAGCTGGAAGGTGGAGCAGCCAGGATGACGTGCCCTGTGGGCCTCTACCACTCAGTCAGGGGCTGGGGCTGGCACCAGGGGGGTGAGGAGGGAAGAGGCAAGGCTCCTGCTCGACGGGCCCGCAGGTGGGTGCTCGCAGTGTGCGTGGGCGCAGCGGGGGTCTGTGCTCCCTCAGAGCCCCGGGGCTGGGCCAGTTCCCAGGGCAGGAGGGGCTCCCTCGCCATGGGGCTGCTCGCCCAGGGGAGGCTGGGTCGGCGGAGGCCTGAGGGAGTGAGGAGGCTGGCTGAGGCCCTGGCCCGCTCACAGGCCTCTTCCCGCCCCACCCTGCTTGTGGAGAAGCAAATGGCTCCTGCAACCTCGCCCCTGCAAGAAATCTACCTGCAAGGGAGAAGGCCAGGAGGTCCCAGCCCCACCGCGGGCTGCACCAGCCATGGGAGGGAGCGGAGAGGACACGCAGGTCTCCGCCCCTTTGGTGGGGACCAGAGCGCTCAGAGGCTCCTTCCACCCGCTCCCAGTGCCTCCACGCCAGCCGCCAGCCCACCCAGCTGTCGGTTCCACCTCTGTGCAGCCTCACCCCTGCTCTAGCCCAGGGCCCTGGGTTTCTCCTGGGCTATCGCCTGAGTGTCCCAACATGGGCAGCACGTTGCCCGTGGGGACAGGTCACCTAGGCTCCGAGTGACTGGCAGGCTGGAGGTTCGGGTGATGCTGGCTGGAGGAGAGGCGGCTGTGGGGCCTGGGGGCAGCATGGCCCGGAAGCCCCATGAACCTCGTAACAGGCAGTCTGTTGATGCCGGGTGAGCTCCGGGGAGTGCCAGGGCACCTCCGGGGCAGAGGCCAAGGGCTTGCAGAGCTGGCCACTGGGGAGCCTCAGCCGCAGGTGGAGGGAAGCTGCAGGACTGAGGCCTGAGCCGAGGTTCTCAGCACGTCACCTCTCTGGGGACACAGCCGCCCAGGGGGTAGGTGTACACCCCCATTTAATGGGAGCGGTGGGGGCAGGAGAGGGGCTTGCCCCTGGCCCCCAGCTAGGAGCAGGTGCAGCTGGGCGGCGGCGCCCTGGGGCTTCTGGTGTTCCCTCCGTGCTTGCAAACCTCCCCGGGGCCCCCGACGACCGGTTTAGACAACCTTGTTGCCCGACCGACTAGCAGAGGGTAAACTTTCACCCAGCAATTCTGAGTCATCAGAAATCCTGACTTCAGGCAGCCAAGTGAAGGGGACTTCACTCTACGTGGGACTCGGAGGATGAGGGGAGGGAGGTGCAGATGGGAGGATAAAGAGAGAGAGAGGAAGGAGGGAGGGACAGAGGGACAGAGAGACAGGGGAGAAGGCAGAGCAGGAGTAAAGCCCCCTGGGAAAGAATAAAGCCCCCGCAGGAAGGGCTCAGGCCTCAGGGAGGCGCTAGAGGAGGGGACTGGAGGGGCCTGGATGAAGATGCCAGCTTCTCAGACCTCATGCAGGAGAACCGCATGAGCCCCTGGTGACGTGGGACGGGGGCTGTGGTCATGTGAGGCCCTGCTAGGTGGCTGGTCCCACGCGGGAGCCGTCCACACACGCCCTCAGCAGCCCAGCCACCTGTGAGGAGGGCGACACGACTCCCATCTTCCAGAGGGTGCTGGGGCCGTGGCCTTGTGGGTACCAGAAGCCGAGGCGGGCGGGGGTGGCTCTGGGCCCAGCACCCTTCCACTGCCCCCTGCACTGTAATGGACGAGTGCATACCCAGAGTTAAGGGCGAGCGGCTCCCTGGGTAGAGAAGGAGCCCTGGAGGTGAGGTCTGATCCGGTGTGGGTTCTGCACTTGACCCCCAGTGTGGCCCAGGGCCAGGAAGCCTCCTCCTGTCTCCTCATCTGTGAAGTGGCTGGTTAGATGAAGCGGGCCCTAGGGTCCTTTCGATTTCCTCGATGTGTCCGCATCTGTCCGTATCTCCTCATCTGTGTCATCTATGCTGTGTCAGCCACCCTACCCACCCACATCTGTCTCCGTCTACCTGCCTCCCACTGAGAGGGAGGCCAGCAGGTGGGAAAGAGGAAGAGATGGTGTGAACGCGAGTGTGTGTTAAGTGTCTGTTCTGGTCTCTCCCTGGAGCCGGGCAGACCTGGGCTACGGCCTCAGGAGGCTCGGAGTGTGGCTCCGGCCTGGCTGTCTTCTCTGCAGGGTCACGTGTGCAGAATCTGGCGTGTGCTTGTCTGGCTCGCACGCTGGCTCAGCCCTGGGTGCGGCCTGTGGGCTCCCTCCCTTGCCTCCCTTACAGGATTGCCTTCTCCAGGGGCCTCACAGGCCAGTGTGACCCCGGGGCCTTGGACTGCTCAAGGCCAGGGCGGGGTTCATCTGGGGACTCGGCACCCCACACAGAGCCTGGTACCAAGTGTGAACAGCTGCATGAATGCTACATCCTACCCCGAGGTTCTGATGATGTCCCTGGAAGGTGCCAGGAATCTGTGGTCCTCACCCCTCACTCTGATTCATATCGACAATATTTCCAATAACCCTCCTGGGCATTTGACATGCCACTTGTACTGCCTGGTATGGCTGCATCTCTAGGGGCACAAGCCCACGTGGGAAGGCAAGACTCTGAGCCTGTTGCCTTTACTGGTGTAGGTATGAGATGGCTGCATTTTTCAGCACCGAGGTAGCTCATCTCACGTAAGCAGAGCCCTAGGGTGGGCAAAGGGTATGGCAGACTCTTCTCTGTGCCAACCTATTTCCTACCTTCATCCTGCTTCCTGGCCAGCACAAAGGGGTTGCAGACTTCTCTGGGGGAAGCAGGTTCTGCTGTACAATTGGGAGAAAAGGAGATTTTGTGATGGCATGAAGTTATGAACATCCAGGGTTTTAAAAGTGAAGGAAGGCTATAGCCCCTTCCCACAAAACCTGGTGGGCTGCCCTGCCCTGCCCTGGCCTGGCACTTCCCTGTGGTCCTGCCAAAGCTGACCACATGGGAATGCCCCTTGAAAGCCTGAGGCTGGTGACCAGGGGGACCTGCATTTCTGCGCCCTGTGCGTCTGAAACACTTGGAGAGACAGTTCTTGGCAGTCTGCCACCCTGGGGCACTGCACACCACAGACTGACACACAGCCCCAGTCTTCCTGAGACAGTTCCTATAACAATGGGGAGGATAGCTATTTTGCCTAATACGCAGAAATAAACACAGTCAAGCAAAATGAGAAAAGCAGAAGAATATGTTCCAAATGAAAGAACAAGAGAAAAACCCAGAAAACAACCTTAAGAAAACTGAGATAAGTAGCTTACCTGATAGAGCTTTCA